GATCTTCTTTGTATTTATAAGGAATCTTAGTAGTTCCATGTTTCTGTTTGTACTCTACAAGGCGCTGATACATGGTCTCCCATGATTCATCATCAAACAAACTAGTACTCAATACCCTCCAAACAAATCCAATTTCATTCAAGCGGTCAATGCGGTCCTTCCTTTTGCAATAAACCCTCTGTGTATGTACCCATTCACCAAGTTTTTGATCTTCTTTGTATTTCTGAGGAACCTGAGTAGTTCCATGTTTCTGTTTGAACTCTACAAGGCACTGAAACATTTTCTCCCATGATTCATCATTGGACCAACTGGAACTGTTTATACTCCAAACAAATCCAATTTCATTCAAGCGGTCAATACGGTCCTTCCTTCTGCAACAAGCGCGCTGCCTACTGACCCATCTTGCAAGTTTTTGCTCTTCTTTGTATTTATGAGGAACCTGAGTGGTCCCATGTTGCTGTTTGAACTCTACAAGGCGCTGATACATGGTCTCCCATGAGTCATCATCACATCGATTGGCACCTTCTTTCCAGATAAATCCAATTTCATTCAAGCGGTCAACAAGATCTGGTCTTCTACAAAACTTGCGCTGTGAACTAACCCAGTCAGCAAGCTGTGGATCTGCTTTGCACAAGTGAGGAACACGAGTACTTCCATTTTTCTGTTTGTATTCTGTAAGGCGCTGGTACATAATCTCCCATTTACTTTCCCCAGTTGCCCCCCATTCTTTCTGACATGGTCTCGATTGAAATCGAATGGAGTTCGGTGGATGGTCATGCCTTTCGTTCCCGCTTCGCCTGCAGTTATTTGTTTCGAAAGTAGATATCTGGCTGTCATTGTCGCTTTCGCTGTCGATTTCCCAACAAGATGCGTCGTCATCGGAAAAATGGCTATTGCTCTGGTCATCGCATCGGAAATAGCAGTGTCTTGACCCAGAAAAGCGAGGACGGTCCTTGTTGTCTTCCGTTGAATGTACGTCCTCCTTGTTGTCATCCATTGCATTCTCCTCCTCATCATCATCGTCATCGTTGCCTTGCACTCGCTTTCGCTTTACTCTCTCCGGAGCCTCTAGATCGGAGGCAGCGAGGTCCGGCAACCAACAAAAGCAACCGGGAGTCCAATCTGTAGATTCCTCTGCACACAGATCGTCTTCATCCTTACGTGATTTTGCTTTCGCTTCCGGTTTCATTTCGGGACCTTGCGCAGGCGACAGCGACAGCAGGGAAGAAACACTCGGTTCCTCTACCCTTTTCGAAAATTCAGAAGCTTCGTGAGTTCCTGTTTTGACCTGTGTTTGATTTTCCGGTCCCTCTGGTGGCGGAAGCGACGACTGTAACACGTCCGGTAGATTGGTGTTGCGGGCGGGTTCGACCTTCCATAAGAAACCAATCCGATTCAACCGGTCAATGCGATCCTTCCTTCTACAACGGCTCCGCTGTGTTTGTACCCATGTGGCAAGTTTTGGATCTTCTTTGTATCCTTTAGAAACCTGAGTAGTTCCATGTTTCTGTTTGTACTCTACAAGGCGCTGATACATTGTCTCCCATGATTCATCATCGGACCAACTGGGACTCTTTATCCTCCAAACAAATCCAATTTCATTCAACCGGTCAATACGGTCCTTCCTTTTGCAAGAAGACCTCTGTGTCATTACCCAACTTGCAAGTTTTTGATCTTCTTTGTATTTCCGAGGAACCTGAGTAGTTCCATGTTTCTGTTTGCACTCTACAAGGCGCTGATACATTGTCTCCCATGATTCATCATCATAACCACTAGAACTCAATACCCTCCAAACAAATCCAATTTCATTCAAGCGGTCAATACGGTCCTTCCTTTTGCAATATCTCCGCTGTGTCATTACCCATTTACCAAGTTTTGGATTTTTTTCGTAATGGTAAGGAACCTGAGTAGTTCCATGTGTCTGTTTGTACTCTAAAAGGCAATGATACATGGTCTCCCATGATTCATCATCACACCCACTGGAGTCCCTTATGCTCCAAACAAATCCTATTTCATTCAAGCGGTCAATACGGTCCTTCCTTTTGCAAACAGCCCGCTGTCTCATTACCCATTTACCTAGTTTTGGATGTTCTTTGTATTCCTGAGGAACCTGAGTAGTTCCATGTTTCTGTTTGTACTCTACAAGGCGCTGATACATTGTCTCCCATGATTCATCATCAAACCCATAAGAGCTCAATACCTTCCAAACAAATCCAATTTCATTCAAGCGGTCAATACGGTCCTTCCTTTTGCAAAGAGTCCGCTGTGTTTTTATCCATCTTGCAAGTTTTGGATCTGCTTTGTATCCTTTAGGAACCTGAGTAGTTCCATGTTTCTGTTTGAACTCTACAAGGTACTGATACATTTTCTCCCATTTAGCGTCCCGAATGGTTCCGTTTGCATCCAAAATGGATCCCTGGCTCTCGTCGTCGCTCTCACTAACAATGTCGTCAAACGTTGCATCACCATCAGACCAAATATCACAATTACTTTCATCATCATCGCGATAGCATCCCAACGCCGCTGCCTGAGGAAATCGGGGAGGGAGTCGTCTCGATTTCTTGTTGCTCCCTTCTGTGTTCTTTTTGCTCATTGCTGCTGTTGATGATGAAACACAATCTTTCTCTTCCGGTGCATCGACATCTCTCGCTTCCGCATCATCGTCCTCGACTGGCACTCGCTTTCGCTTTCTTTTCTCTGGAACATCCAGGTCCGACGCATCCGGCAACCAGCAAAAGCAGCCGGGGGCCCAGTTTTCGTGTGCTGTGTCGCCCTGCTCATCTTCCATCTTCGGTGATGCATGGTGGCTTTCTGTTTTCACCTCCGGTTTTACTTCGGGGCCTTGCGGTGGCGGTGTAGGCAGCTGCAAAGACGAGGCGCCCGGATCCTCTTGCTTCTTCGGCCGTTCCAAGGGTTGCTTTGTCTCTGCTTTCACCCCGGAATCCTGCGCCAGCGGCGGAGACGACAACGACGACGATGGGACGGAATCAGGTGAACCGGTGCTGCGGACATTTTCGGCCTTGATCGGCGGTGGGTCCGCCTCGGTTTTCGGAACCGGCTCGTTTCGTTCGGACTTGGGAACCGTCTCGCTCCGTTCGGATTTTGCAACAGGCTCGTTCCGTTCGCCTTGCTCGCTCTTGACGGCCGAGGGCGGCGAGTCGCCGCTGGCAACGGTGCATCGATCGCTGTCGTCGGGCAGCGGCTCTTCCCAGCACCAGTTCCCGGTTTTCCATTCCGCACCAGAGTCCGCGGTGGCCTTCTCGTCTTTCTCAATCCCGGTGGTTGCTGTCGCGGCAATGCTGCTAGAAGCAACGTGCAGTGGTGAAAGCGGCATCGCGGCTCGTACTAGGGGAAACTAGGAATAGAAGCAATGGCCGTCGCGTGGTTTCGGAAAGGGGTATTATTCGTATGCTCTGTTGCAGAACTCTCACCGAGTTGTTCAAACACCACAACTTGCTCTTTCGAGTGCGTGCCGTACGGAATGGAGTTTGGTATGAGTACAGTGCAGAAGTAACAGAACTTGGGAATTAAAGTTTGGTGCGATGGCAAACAATGTCAGTGAAGAATTGAGGACACAAACAACACAGCGAGTTCGTGAGGAGGCACGTTACACCGATGTACCGTACGGCATAGCCTTTTGGAACTCCTGAAATATACCGTACCTACCCTACCATACTGATCAGAATACATTATTTGGATTACACTGCATACACGTACGGCGCGAGCAGCAGGTCGACGATTATCACATACCGTGCTTTCTCCATACAGTATTTTGGGTTCTAAGTTGTCAGTAAGTGCGCCGGGACCAAAACTAAGCAATATGATTGGCGCATATGCACGTCATTTTGGAGGCAGGATACGCAGTTTCGGAGACGGAAATTTTAAATTTTGGCTCGACGATGTGCCGCCCTTGATGGAGAAGATCCCCGATGCGTCCTCACGGAATTCGCAGCCGGCATCGCACCGCAACGAGAGACGCAACCTTGCGCAGCGGAACAAAACAGAGCGGTKKYTGGTTYRGGGAAGAAGAAYCCGCRATGMAGGGCCCCGGTGCCAAARGCGTGGACACCCCGGAGGGGCACACCTGGGACTGCATCGTCGTGGGAGCGGGCTGCGCCGGAATGGCGGCCGCCCACCGCCTGGCCCTCGAGAGGGGCGATCAAGGCGCGGGCCACCGGCGGAAGCCGCCCCCTTGGGGCTTTTCCCTCCTCGTCCTCGAGGCGGGGGGCCGCGTCGGTGGCCGGACGMGGAACCACGACCTGGAATCGGGGGCCGGGGATGCCTTCCGCAGGGGTGGTGGCAGCAAGAGCAGTTGCGGCGGCGACCCCAGCGGGCACGTCATCGAGCTCGGGGGGACGTGGCTGAGCCCGGAGCACACCGCGGCGATTCGGTTGTGCACCGAGCACCTGGGACTGGAACTCTTTCGCGGCTGGGAGGGTGCCCCAGAGGAGGAAAGCGGAAGAAATCCCGGCGAAGGATGCGGGGAACCAATGCCCTGGTGGTACTGGGGGGTGAGTGACAAATTTGCWGCACGTGACGCTTCCAAAAGCATGAACGCCCAGAAGTTTCCGCGTTCTGTGCATGGTATACATTCAAACTGATTGAATGATTGTTCTTGTCGTGCTTGTGCTATTAGGTTGATTACGCCGACGAGGATATGGCGAGGCTCAAGCGCACAATCCTGCACCGAGACGTTGCACCCAGTGTGGACGGAGACACAGGGTCAGCCAGTGGCCAGCATCCCTCCGCTCCGATCACATTTGTGACACCCGCGGAGCTTCTGGAAAGCCTGGATCCCCTCACGGTGAGGGAGCTGCGCGATCTCGGGAACGACGTCATCGACCGAGACGTGGAGGCACTGACCAGGGGCCGAGCAGCCGGCACCAGCCTGTGGGAACTCCCGGAGGTCCCCCCTTCCTGGGGAGAACTCGACGGGGGATCGACGGCCGATCACGCCCTTCCCCTCCTGTCGACCTCCAACGGAAGGAACATCCTGCGGAACACGATCCTCAACAAGAACGCGGAGGAACCCGGGAGCGTGGGCTATCTGTACAACCTCATCAGCTGGAGCGGGTCGAACAGCCGCGGGCCGGACACGGAGTACCGGGTGGTGGGAGGAACCCAGGCCATCCCCCTTCGGATCGCCGAGAAGCTCTCGGAGGTCTCGTCGGCGCCGGGGACCGCGGCCTCGGGATTTTCGCGCTGCAAGGTCCTCCTCAACACACCGGTGAAGGCCGTAGCGAGGGAAAATGGAAACGATCGCCGCTTTTTGGTGACTACGGAAGATGGAAGACGGTTCCTGTGCCGGAACCTGCTGGTGACGGGGTCTCCTTCGGCAATCCACGAAACCATCGACTTTGGCGGCGGCGACGAGTCTTCCTGCGTCCTGCCGTTGGTCCAGAAAGAACTGCTCTCTCCCCTGCGCATGCCCATGGGAAGAAGCTCCAAGTTTTTYGCAATCTACCGGCGAAACGGTCCCTGGTGGAGGAAGTTTGGTCTGCAGGGTGACATCTTGGCGTGCGGTGGACTCCCGGAGGAACTATCGATCCGCATTCCATTTACGGAGAGCGCCAGAGGAACACTAGAAGAAGCGGAAGATCGTGCCCCTCTGTTTCCCTGTTGCTTTGACGTGTCCCCTCGTTCCAGAAAGTACGGGGTGCTCTGCTGTTTTCTGGAAGGAGTGTCGCACCGGTATTTCGGGACCCTGTCGTCCGAGGCACAAAATGAACTCCTGACGAGGTTTCTGGAGCTKTCGTTCAAACCGTTTTTGGACCGGGCAGGGGACAAWGGGGACGACGGCTCCGCATCGAAGTCGCAGTCTGCTCCCTTGTGGGTTCCGGACGAATTTCTTCTCGCCGACTGGGGACCGGAAACAAGATACGTAGGCGGAGCCTACACGGGTTACTTTCGGCCCGGTGTTCTWTCCCAGCCCGAGTATTGGACGGCGTATCGAAAGGTGGAAAAATCCCCGAACCTCTTCTGGGCCGGTGCCGACTACCACGCAGGATTTGGTACGTGATTCATGGCGTGGCGTGCTGCGTACGGTAGTTTCAGTYCTTYGTTATTTGCTSGTATCCGTGGTATCTCAATTTCCTTTGTTCTTGGATTGGCGGTGGTAGGCAATGGTTACATAGAAGGGGCTGTGCGTTCTGGTCAGCACGCTGCAGATCTTATTCGCGATCGACTTCCGTGGGTTGCGTGATTGTCGGAATATTTTCCATGTTCCTTGATAACAGAGCAAGCAATGCAAAGACAGTTTTTTTTTTTTGGGTATCACTGCCAAACAAAATGGGAACAGAGGTCTCATCCAATTTCGGCAACTCGAGATTSTGTTGCGTACAGGCATCATACATTATTACTGTCACATATGCTGCTCTCTCTTCTCCACTCGCTTTCCTTCTTTCTTAACTGTACCGCATCGTCGTCATCGTACCTTCGATCTTACGATGCCAATCARATTTCTTTGATTTTGGTCACACCAAACTTACGGCGGAGAAACTATGTTCCATACTAAATTTACCGCAAGTCCTTTCATTGCACAGTGACTCGTGAACGAAAAACGTTCCGCGTGACAATTTTTCGAATCACAGTTTTGATCGTAAACGTGTCACTTTCATTCATGGAATCAGGTGCACGTTTCGGAAAAAATTGAACATCTACTACGAAGTACTGTATGTATTCCAGCCCGATTTTGGCAGTTGAAGCATACGAAATGCATACCAACTCGTTGCAACACTATCTGTTCCCCAAGGCTACCTGGAGCTCATAAAAAGATAGACACTCATTGTCAATCAGATAATCTACAAAAACCTGCCTTCTACGATAATCTTTACATCATGCTGAACCAAAACCAAGCAGTAAAACCACCCGGCATCAGACGGAAAAAYCGTGATTTTCGTGTCCGCCGCAACCAGTCATTCCATGCACGATTTCCAACTTTGCTGTTCTGCATGTGCCTGTTGTGTGTCCCTTTTGCACTCGGATTGCAGTCGCCACCACCACAAGAAGATGATGGACCMATCATCGGCATCGATCTCGGCACGACCTATAGTTGTGTGTCGGTATTCAAAGATGGCTCAACGCAAGTTATTCCCAACGAACAAGGAAACCGCATCACTCCATCGATTGTTGCATTCACAGACAACAAAGAACGGCTCGTCGGGGATGCCGCAAAGAACCAGGCAACCATCAATCCAGAAAACACCATTTACGACGTGAAGCGGCTGATTGGCCGYGAGTATACGGACGCTTCTGTTCAGGAAGACAAGAAGCTAGTGCCGTACAAGATTGTTCCCGACTCCCAGGGCAAACCCCGGGTCGTAGTGGCACAGAACGGGGAGGAGCGCRTCTACAGCGCGGAAGAAATCTCYGGCTTGATCCTGGCAAAGATGAAGTCCATCGCAGAGGGCTATCTCGGTCGWGAGGTCACCCGTGCCGTCGTTACGGTCCCGGCGTATTTCAACCAGGCCCAGCGCGAGGCAACGAAAGACGCGGGTCGCATTGCCGGGCTGACGGTCGAGCGAATCATCAACGAGCCCACCGCGGCCGCCATCGCCTACGGCCTCGGCCAGGACGCGGCCGTGGAAGACAAGAACATTCTCGTGTTTGACCTGGGCGGTGGCACCTTCGACGTGACSCTGTTGAATCTCGACGAGGGCGTCTTTGATGTTCTCAGCAGCGAGGGAGACACGCACCTAGGYGGCGAAGATTTCGACCACCGCGTCATGGAATACTTCATCAATCTGTCGAAGAAAAAGTCGGGGATCGATATTTCGGGGAACAAACAAAGCCTCCAGAAGCTTCGAAAGGAAGTGGAGCGGGTGAAGCGYACCCTCTCCTCGAAAACCCAGGCCCGGTTGGAAATCGAAGACATTGTTCCCGGCCATGACTTGCTCGAGACCCTGACCCGGGCTCGCTTCGAAGAGTTGAACAGTGACTTGTTCAAAAAGACATTGGATCCCGTGGACAGYGTACTGAAACGGGCGGGGCTCGAGAAAGAAGACGTCGACCACGTTGTTTTGGTTGGTGGATCTACCCGCATACCAAAGATCCAAGAACTKATCTCCGAATAYTTTGGTGGGAAGGAGCTCTCGAAGAGCATCAATCCCGACGARGCGGTTGCGTTCGGGGCCGGCGTGCAGGGTTCCATTCTTGGCAATAGTTCCCCCGACGAGTACGCCAACATYATTCTCCTGGACAAGACRTCCCTGTCRATGGGCATCGAAACCGTCGGGGGYGTGTTCGTCCCAATTGTAAAGCGGGACACCAGCATCCCTACCAAAAAGTCCCAGATATTTTCGACCAACCAAGACAACCAGTCGAGGGTCGTGATAGACGTGTACGAGGGAGAGCGAGCGATGACMAAGGACAACCACCCTCTGGGAAAATTCGAGCTCGCCGGGATCCCTCCTGCCTCCCGCGGRATTCCACAGATCGAGGTGAGCTTCCGGGTGGATTCGAACGGAATACTGGAAGTCACCGCGGAAGACAAGGGGACGGGCAAGGCCGAAAAAATCACGATCACCTCCGACAAGGGCCGACTGTCCGAACAGGAGATCCAGCGAATGATCGAAGAAGCGGAAGAGTACGCGGAGGAAGATCGCCTGGCGAGGGAACGAACGGATGAACGAAACGGACTCGAGAGTTATTTGTACAGCCTCAAAACTACCTTAGACGGCGACGAGACCCTTTCGAGGAATCTTTCTGCCGAGGACAAGCGAGATCTCTTGGACCTGGTCGAKGAAAAGGTGGACTGGATGGAGGAAAATCCAGAGGCCTCGAGAGATGATCTTGTCAGCCAACGTGAGGAGGTGGAGCAAATCGCAAATCCTTTGCTGCAGCGGCTGTATCGCGATGATGCGAATGGCGAAGGTGACGAAGACATAGATGATATGGACCTATAAAGTGACCTCGATCTGGACAACTCGGAATCTATTTATGCTCAGTAAAAAATTCATGGACAATCAGAGTGTAAAACAAGCAGTRTGTAATCGAATCGAGTCGATAGAGAGACTGCTGTGTTTAGTTATTTATTTTAACATTAATGGTAATATTAATATCTYTCCGGATGGATTGTCCTCTTGCCGTCACACACACACGGGTCGATCGAACCACACCAAAGTGCACCGTAATCCACAATCGTTGCGGACCGATGCGCCCAAGCAACGGTGGTCTTCGGTCGTGCTATCGCGACGCCGCCGCCGTCCCCCCCGTGAGCTCCTCGATCCCGTTCCGCAGCCGCTCGGCGGCGAGCCTGGTCCGGTCCGGCGGCAGGTTGGCGTAGCAGACCCGGATCCAKCCGGGGGTCCCGCAGAAACTCCCGGGGATGACCGCGATCCCGTAGTCCCTCACMAGCCGTTTGCAGACGAGGACGTCGATCGGTTCGGCGCCGTCGTCGTGGAGATCGTCGTCGTCGTCGTCTCCGCCGGGCAGCGAGGACCGGGACAGGTGGTCCGGGAGCCTGCCCATGACGTACATGCTTCCCGAGCCCCCGATCGTCTGCGGGAGCGACGAGAGGGCCTCCAGGATGCACTGCCGGCTGGGMTCCAGCGTGTCGTACTTTTCGTAGACCCACTCCTTCGATCCGGGCGAGTAGAGGGATTGGCCGGCATTTTCGCCAGAATCTTGWTCGGCCCCCTGGCGCAGGGCCCCCAGCGCGACGTGCTGGGAGAGCCGGGGGGGACCGATCGGGATGGTGTCCTGGACCTTGAGCATCTGCTCCAGAAAGCCGCTCCCCTCCGAGGCGTCCCCCCTGTGGGTGACGACGTACCCGCACCGGTACCCCGCCAGCGCGTAGCCCTTGGAAAARGAAAAGACGTGGATCACGTGKGGATCGTTGGGGAAGGTCGGCAAGGGATTGGTCTCGTATTTTGGGTGGMTGCTTCTGCTGGCCTTGCGGCYGCCATCGGGAGCGTAGAAAAAGTGCTCGTAGGTGCAGTCCAGGACCAGCCAGACCCCGTGGTCCCGGCAGAGGTCSACGATCTCCCGCAGGTCCTCTTCCGGCAGCGCCACCCCGGTGGGATTGCCCGGGTTGACCAGGGTGACGAGGCGGATGCCCCYKTCGCTCCGGAGGGCCTCCCCCAGCCACTCCAGGTCGGGGCGGCCGGTGGACATGTCGGTCGGCCCGGTGACGACCGCCTCCGGGCCGGCGCACATCTGGATGGCCATGACGTGGTTGAAGTAGTAGGGGCAAAAGACCACGGCCCTGCCTCCGTTGTCCCCGAGGAGCGTCAGGACGATGTTCGTGTAGGCCTGGTTGGCCCCGACCGTCACCGTCACGTCGTGGTCGGTCATCCCGTGCTCGGCCCCGATCTTGGCCTTCAGGGCTTCCACCAGCTCCGGGAGGCCCCCCGCGGGAGAGTACGAGTGCAGGGCCAGCGGGTCGTCTGCGTTGCYKTCTGCGTTGCTTTCTCCGCCGCTGGCCATTGCCATTGGCATCACGGCGTCCACGAGGGCCTTTCGGCACGCCGGYGGGGGRCTCCAGTAGACRACGCCCTGGGCCAGGCTAAAGATTCCCTCCTTGTCCTCCCACCGGTGGGCGTGGTCCTCCATCCACTGCTTGGTCTTGACGACGCACGGATCGAGCGTCCCYAGGACCTTGTTGGAGAGGGGAAAGCCSCTGCTGGTGTCTTCGCCGTTGCTTTCGTTTTGCAGTGGTTCGGTGGAAGATTGACGGGTCGCCCCGCGTGCGGACGCCGTTCTTGCCATGCTTYCGATGGCGCGGGAGGGAAGGCTCCAGCGATTCCTTGCGGCCCTCGTTCCTGTCGACAGCACAAAGGGCCGGATCGCTGGAAGCCCCGAAAACGCCAGGAGGARACCGATGGTTGCGACCGCAATCGAAAAAGACGACGACGACGACGAAAARAAGAAGAAACGCATCGGCATCGGACGGCCTGTTTGTTTCTCTGTCTCTGTCTCTCTCTATCTATCTCTGTCGCTCCGCTCGTGGGTTGTTGGAGGCGTCGTAGGCAGGCAAGAGATTTCTGATTGTYTCATGTTCTACCTGTACAGTAGGAAGAGGCCGTACGATACGTACTTGTACGTACTTCATGAGTGAAGCAATACGCGATGGCCATTATTACTATCAGCAGTATGAACCATCAACAATAGCAATCGTAGTACGATTTTCCTGTACGTACGTACTCGTACCGATAGGTGTTCGTTATTCCTGCTAGTTTTGTACTTATGATATGATACCTATGACATGAGATATCATAGATATTACAAGTATGTATGATAATATGAGTACGTTAAGAGGATTCTCGTCCATCATTGGGTTTTATGTAGTACTTTGTACTCGTACWACGAAGTACTTCGTCTGTGTTTCCACTTACCGTACGGTACAGCAAGCGAAAAAAACAAAAAACCACTACAGGTACCCTCTTGACATTTTGATCGGTTCCGACTCCCTCGAACCAGAAAGATTGATTCGCGCCATTCTTTCCTTCGGATTTTGGCTCTTTCGTAGCATACCGTCATGTACAATGCCGTACCGGTACGGGTCCTAGGAATCATCCAGTGAAAGATATCGTTGCATCTTGCATCGGACATCGGAAGCACATAAGCACTGTACCATTCGTACATACTCGTGTGTAACGCATTCATCGTGATTCTGGAAGGTACCTATCGGGACCTCGGTAGCAAACAATTCAATWCGGTTTGGTGCTTTGTGGAGCAGTTCGTGTGCGTTTGTGTCCCGGGCAACGTCGACATGGTCCGCTTGCAAGCCTCCCGGCTGTTCGCCYTGGTGACCGCGTTTCCTCGAGCCGCTGCCGGATTTCGGGGGACGACACATACCCGCTGCCGTCGTTCCCTGCCTCCGCAGCGGCGGGGATCCCACACCCGGCATCCACGGGGCCTGGCAGCGCAAGGCGGGGATTCGATTCGGGGCGGGGAGGACCGGGACGAGGCCCGGCAGCAGCAGCAAGAGCGGTACCCGAGGGCCGCCGTTGCGGTGGCGCTGCGCTGCCTCTGCCACCCGGAGCCTGCGAACGACAACGACAACTGCGCTGGATCCGAAGCGCTCCTGCCCCGCTACCTGCTGATCCAGCGGGGGACCGAGCCCAACAAGGGCCGGTGGGCCCTTCCGGGGGGGAAGCTCGAGTGGGGCGAGCCGACCCTGGAGGGGGCCAGGCGGGAGCTCGGAGAAGAAACCGTCTTTCTGGACGGGTCCGTCGGGTCCGGTGGCGGCGACCACCGGTGGGAGATGGAGTGGTCTCYCAACCCGTTCGCCACGACCGACTCGATCGTCGGCGACCGCTTCCACTACCTGATCGCCCTGTGCTTTGCCGAGCTCAGGCCGGTCGGCGCTTGCGACGCCGGTGCCAGCGGGAGGCTCCGGCTCCCGCCGAGGGTTGCCGCGGCCGACGACGCCAAGGACGCGAGGTGGTGGTCCCTCGACGAGCTCGTCGCCCTGGAGAAGGAGGAGGGCGGAAACTCCAGCACAACRCCCGGGTTTGTGGAACGGATGAAGCGGACCGAGGATTTGTACCAGAGGGGCGTCCTGCTGCCGGCCGACTAGGGATCCAGCGGGAAGAGCCGGCCGCTTCGATTTCGAACCAACCGGTGGACGCGAAAGATMGATAGAATGAAAAGAATCGAATCATTGAAACGATGATAGGAATCACTAGCGAAAAATGGTAACCACGATCTGTGATTCGTACAATKATTTTGAAGTTTGTTATTCAAACGCTGATTGGTTTTCCTGTCTGTAGTTTTGGCAACAGCCATCTTGTAATCAGTCTGGATTTTCCCATCCATCCGCTCCGTGCTTTTGGTAGCTACCTACGTCGTCAATTGCATTTGGTGCTTTGAACGAAAGATAGTAATATAACTAGATAGATTCCCATAAAGCGTTTCTTAGCACCAAAGTTTAGCGTGGTGGGTTATGGTTTTCGATTCCCGACGACGTGTGATTCCCCGTCCAGCATCGCCAAGCCCTCGCATAGCTCTGTGCGATCTGCAAACTATCTAAGCCTGAATCATCGTTTTCAACAAACATGTGCATTTGTCAGACCACTTGTTTCAGATTTAACCTTGTGATCCTAATACATCATTCCCGCRCCACAGACTTCAGCTGGGGATGGGTATTGACGAAGATGTTCGATTCTTTACCTGTTGCTCCGGCCATGATATGTGCCACCCAAAAACAAGTTATAAACGAGAAACTAGTCCTGTTGAGCTTGTTTCCAGTTCTTAACTCGTGAGTCTTGTGTTTTCTTGCAACTGTCACCGATTGCACTCGCACCTATCAGATCAATGTAGTTGAATCGCTCGCGAAATCAGCGGTCTGGAGGCACGGTATTTCTAACTTTGCCGCCCCTTCGTCGCGTTCTTGCSAACGGAGAGTCTTGTCATGCCTCGTGGTGGTGGTGGGAAGGATCGTCCTTGTCCCCGTCGTGGTGGTCCTCCGCGGGGCTGCCACCACCACTCCCGCCGTTGCCGTTGCCGTTGCCGCCGCCGTGCACAAAGCCCCCGGCGATGAGAATGGGCCTCGCGGTCGTGTCCCTCGGCACCGAACGGACCAGGCAGGCGCCGTGGGCCTGCGCAAAGGCCCCGCACAGGAGCWGGTACCGGACCTGGCTGTCGATGTTGCCCGCTACCGGGACCCCGTTCAGGTAGAGGGAGGACCGGATGCAGCAGGGCATGACGGCCCAGGTCGCCCCCGCCGCCCGSGCCAGGTCCACCACGTGCTTGTTGGCCTCGTTGCAGGCGTGGACGGCCACGAGGCAGCTCGAGGGGGTCAGCCCGGGCCCGACGGACCGGAGGTCGGCGGTCCGGTACTCGAGGTTGGACAGGACGACGGGGGGCCCGCCGGCCCCTCCGGCCTCGTGGGCCTTCTCCCCCCTGGCCACAAAGGCGTCCCGAAAGGCGTAGAAGCTCTTGCGTTCCTCCAGATCGACGCAGACGACCTTTTTGGTGGGAAACCGATAGGCCAGCAATATTCCGAGCAGGCCGTGGCCGCAGGCAAGGTCGTAGATGACGTCGATGGTGGGTTGGCTGCCGGTGCCGGGGGGCTTGCTGCCCCCCGAACCGGTAGTTGCGCCTTTGGTGCTTGCTGGTGTTGTCCCTTCCCCTGCCTGCTCTTTGTGCTTTCTCGATTGCTCGGACAGGAGCACGATCCGGCTGACGATGCGAAAGGCCTCCAGGTTCTCGAAGAGTTCCTTGACGCGCATGTACTGCGGGTGGTGCACCGATGCAAAGTGAAAGATGGCCGGAAACTCGGGATAGTGCTTCCCAAAGACGTCCCGGAGGTACCTCCAGAAGCGGGCCCGAAACCGCGGGCCCAGCGTCGAGATGAGCAGCGAGTGGTCGATGCAGGAGGACCGGTGGGGAAAGTCCCGGAACTCGTCCTTCCTCCAGGACGACCGAACGTCGATGCCTTCGTCGCCTCCCGTCTGGGAGCAAGGAGTGCAGCTGTCGGTGTCCTCCTTGCCGATGGTGTTGTCGCCTGGTTCGGTGTTGGTGTTGCTGCTGCTGTCCGCTTTGTGGTTTTGGTCTATTGCGGTTTGCGATTGCAGCGTCGGCTGAACGGTTTGCCCCCACGTGGGGACCTGGGCGGCAAAGTCGGCCGCGGCCTGTTCCCACTCCGATACGACTTTTTTGTGCTTGCGGCCCTCGAGGTGTTCCCTCAGGTTCTTTTGTCTCTGGAAGCCAACGTTGCACTGGTGGCAGAAATACTTGTGCTTCTGTTGCTCCGTTTGGTGCTGCTTCCCCTTGGATCTGGATCGCTCCGACCTGGAGCGCACCGACKGTGGAAGCATGGAATCCCCGCCGTTGTTATTGTTGTTGTTGCTGATGATGATGTTGCCATTACTGATGCCGTTGCTGCTGCTGCTTTTGGCGGGTGGCACCGGCTGCTGCCGCGGGCTGCTTGCCGTTGCGACGGGGCATTCTTGGTCGGCGTCGGTCGTCTTGGCCCGCCGATCCGATCCATCGTGCAGTTTGTAAAAGGCTCTTCGCTTCCTGGATTGGATCATCTTGGTGACGGTTGGTCCCGTGCCATGAGCATTGGCATGCGGGCTCACGCTGTCTCCCACAGGTAGTATGAAATTGGAACAGAAACGGGGTCCGTCTCGAAAGGATTGTCGAGTTCGAATAAGGGATGATGCCAACACAATCGGACGACTGACGGACTGATTGATGGGTCATGCATGTGGTACCACTAGTACGTACGAGTTACTCGTACTCGTAGAAGTTGCAGTAGTAGCACTCCAAGTAGCTTCTTTCCTCCCGAACAAATATGAAGTAGCACAGCAGCATTATGATTCAGACTGGTGATGCCTGTTACATCACATAGTTATGAAGAAGACAACCCCTTACTGTTAATTTTTCCTTAATGGAATTGTAGTTATAGTACTAGTAGTACTATTAGTTCAGTAACATCCTGGCTCACGGCAGAGGAGGGGTGGTGACAAGAATGAGGACAACAATGATGACGACGACGCAGGACCGGGATTCGTACTGTATACCCCCAAATTTCTGGTGCTCGTTTGCTGTGAGGAACGAATTACTAGAACCTCTTGGTGGATGTGGTTATGTCCCGAGGCATTAAATACTATTGTAATGCAATTCCTTATATTTAGGTGAATGTTTGAAGACCAATATCTGGCGGGTCAGGAAGAGCATCTACCAATAAAAATCCCCACACAGAGAAACCGCCGAATCGGTCTATTTGGCACAAAGAAGCAATGTGCACTTTCCTACTAGGCCTTGATGTACTTCTCTGCCAGGGACGAAAAGGCCTTCGGATCCTCCACGGAAAAGCCGGAGCGGCCCGACCCTTCCTGCTTTACCGACAGCACAAAATTGGTGCTGTTGTCGCTCTGGAACTCCCGCCCGCACCGGCTCGCCCACCACACGTCGCTGAGCGCCTGGCCCCAGGTCTTCTTTTTATACCACGTGAGGGCGAGCTCCGGGTCGGTGCCGGGCCGGATGCGATCGATGTCCCCCAGGGGAATGGTCTTGGAGGTAGCAAAGGGAAAGTAGTACCACTTGAGGACAAGGGTTTTCTCCGTCAGGGTGACGTAGCAATCGTCGTACACAACGACAGGGTCTGCGGTTTTGGATTCCTCGCCGGCGGATGCCATTGTGCGTATGCTTTTGTCCGCGTGTGCGTCTGTGCCTTGTGCTTTGTTGTTAATTAATTGTTCGTTAGGAATGATTGAACCAATCGGGGCGTGGATCGATCGGTTGTTCCTACTTTTGTTGTATGGCGGGAGAGAATCGATCGCAGCTGCTGTCGCGTCGTTCCCGGCGTATTGATTGCTTACTGGACTCGAACTGGTACGAGACCTGTGACAGTGACATCCGAAGGAAGATTGTTGTAGTTTCTCTTCGTTTTGCCGTGCTCGTCGTTCTTCGAGCACGACTCAAAAGGGAGATGGATTCGTTGCGAACTTCTTTCTCAAGGACCAGTGATGTACCGGTACGAACTCGTACTTACTGCACTGTAATGCACAGTACTTACGGTTCGTACCGTACAGTTCTACTTCGGAGTTGAAATCACAAATTTAATTTAACCCGTGTTGTCGTCAGATTATGGTTTACAGTAACAAGTCTTGCAAAACATACGCATACGAGTACGGTCATGCCGGCCAGCTTTGGAGAGTCCGTGCTGCGTGTTCCTTTTTCGAAAGCACGCATACACAGAAAGGGTACAAACCGTGCGGTACCGTAGAATATGGTACGAACTGTTCAACAGTTATTGCGATTCAACGGACCCAATGCGACCAACGGCACGCCTCACTTCGAAGTGCTCCGAAATACCGTACGCTAGCATACTCGTGACTTCGATAAGAGCGAACTTTTCGTGTTTAGGAAAACAGTTCGAGACTGTCACAATAGGTAGGGTCGTCATTGTACTACAATCCATCTTTGGCAACACAAAGAGATCCAGCAACCCACGCATTGTTTTGTCGCAACTTGCTTCGGTGGCAGAAAAAAAATAAGCAACAATCTCTACACAAGTGAAAACGACAATGTTTGATTCCAGAAAAATGCCCCCGCTGCTAGCCCTCGCACTGCTGTTCTTGTCCCTCCAGGCCCTGTGCTCGCTCGCCGAGGTTTCCCCGACGTGCAGCGATCCGACGTGCGAAGCAGAGAAGGATGCCCCCGCTCTGCCGGAACTCCCCGAGATGGTCGACGGGGGTGTCTTTGTGCACTTTCACCTGTACAAGACCGGCGGATCCTCGGTCACGGAGCTCTTTGTCGAGCTCAAGCAGGAATTCGACGAAATCGCGTACGAGGAGGCCGAGGCGGCCGGGAAATTCGACGAGGAAGAAGACTTCCCCGATGACGACAACAATCCCAATTCGGAGTTTCTCGAGGGCGTGAAGATCATTTTTGTCAACAACCGCGAGGACATGACCGAGGAGGACATCGAGTGGTCGATCACCGAGGCGAAGGAGAAGAAAAAGCCCGTGTTTTACAACTTCCACGTCGAGTTTCCCGCTACCATGTACCCCACCCTGATCGAGGCCGCACCCATCCTCCGGGAATGGCGGGCGAGGGCCGAGGCCGAGGGGATCCCCTTCTTTGCCACCACGGTCCTCCGCGAGCCCCTCGGCCACGCCCTGTCCTTTTTCAACTTTTTCCACGTGACGGTGGACGAGATGGAATGGAGCCCCTTTGCCGGCGACATGGATGCCACCGAGGAGAACTTTCTCAAGACGTACGTCGGAAACCGGCTGTGCCACCTCATGTACAACGACGCCCACGGGATCCTCGAAGCCCCCGACGAGGCCCTCCGGGAGGGCCTCAAGGAAAACCTCTTCCACTTTATGGACGAACACGAGCTCAACCGCCGCAACGAGCCGTCGCACTGCGACGCGGACGCCCTCCGCACGATCCTCTTTGAGGACAACACCTTTGACTACGTGGGAATCACGGAGCGGCTTTCGACGCACATTTTGCCAATGTTCACCAAGATCGTCTTTGGGGACGCGCGCCTGGCGGGGGATGCCGAGGTGAAGAAGAAGGCCGCCGACATGACCGACGACACCTGGGTCCCCCTGAAAAAGAACACCCTTTCCGAGTCGACGAAGGAGCTCGTGGCCAGGGAATCGGCCAAGGACCAGAAGCTGTACGAGGAGGCCCGCGACCGGTTCGCCCACTGGCCGTCCTACTTATGACACGCGGCCTCCGGCAGCGGGAGCAGCGACGAGGCCGGGGAGGAGGATTCTTCCCCGTCGTCGTCGCCGCCGTCCGCCCCGGGCCAAACGGAAGGAGAGCTGTAGCGGAGATGCAGCGCGAGAAAAATAGAAATCAAAAACCAGAAATCACACTATAGACAAAACTTAAAACAATTGCGTATTCCGATGAATAGGAATGTCGAACATCCCTCTCTCTGGTCTCGATTGAATTGAATCTTTCCACCGTGGATCGCAGTCGACCTCTGTTTACCCTTGCAACGTGCTTTCGTATTCGTCTTTACATTTATATTTGCATTAATATTCACATTTACATTAGCTTCTGCGTCCCCGCCTTCCACCTCGCTTGTCGCGGCCGGTGAGCCTGTCGGTCTACGGCACCCCGTTGTAGACCGAGCTGGCGCCGTCCTGGTTGTATACCACCAGCTGCGCCAGCATCCGGCATTGCACTTGTAGTTTTGGAAGTCCATTATAGACAAAGCAGGTGCCTTCCGGATTGTGTGGCACCAGCTACGCCAGCATTCGGTGTTATCGTTGTTCTGGTTTCGGGAGCCTATTGTAGACCGAGCAGGCGCCGCTCCTGTTGTGCACTGCACGTTGCGCCAGCATTCGTCGATGTCGATGTCGATGTCGTTTTCGTTACAGTTGCAGTTTTTGTTCGGTGGCTGCTTCCTCTGACTATTATAGTATCTTTCTCGTGTTCGTGCTGGGTTTTCGAATGGACAACAAGTGGGACCATTGGAAGATACCGATCGGACCCTGTTTGGGACGTCGAAAATCTAACGGCTCGAGGGCTGATCTCACTCTCCTCGTCTAATTTTCCATTGCTTCCGTCGGTGGCTTCCGTTCCCTCCTATGTTTGTGCGCTTGTCGCCTGTGACATCACCTTCGTTTTCTCATCAAGGTAGTAAGAGTCGGTTTCGCCACCGAACACCATTTGTCCAAAATAGATATAGTATCTGTTTGTTTTGGCGCAACAGACGAATGGACGCGTGATATAATTAGAAAATTGATCGATGCCTTACAATGCTTAGAAAAAACTAATGTAACTAGAAGTGGGTCCGAATGAACAAGAATCACCGACAAATCAAGCTGAAGACAAATATGTCTAATATCTAGTAGAACTAACTAACATACGTACTAATAGTTGGATTTCAAAATACTTTTAACGAGGTTGGCATCTGTTTCGCATCTCGTTGGATGACTAATGGTACCGGTAGGTACTACTGTACGGTACGTGTGCGCCATAGTACGATCTCTCAAGCAGCCATCTCAGAAACCAGATGCGATGCGAACTTTCTTCTTTCAAATTTTAAAATTCATATTCTTATTGCAGATGTTCCTTAAATTTCTCCTTCGTTGTTGTATCCTGGTTGGTTCTTTGTTGCACATCGAAGGGTTTCCTTGACACCAAAGTGACGTGTTGATTGATTTTACGTGGGCCACCTCGCTCGAAGAATTATATCTTTGAAGCCGCAAGCTTCGAGTCAGGTACCCCTAAAATCAGTTTTCGAACCCTAAATATGGTCGCACGCGAACAATCCCAGAAACCAGGGACCATTAGAGTTTTGATTGGAGGAAGTCCGGAGCGTTTCAATAGCGAGTCAACTTTAACGGTTCGACAAAAGTAGGAGAACCATGGACGTGCAATTGCACACAAAAAATTTGGATAATTAAGGCGAGCGCGATAGAATTCTCATCGGCAACTTCACGAAAAGAATTCGCTCCGTAGAGTCTACCGGTACTTTTGTGGTTTTCAGACGCACTAGTACGCATCACCAGGATCAGACGGTCTTTTTGGACACTATCGACACCAACAGTATCGACTACTACAACAACTCTCAATAACAGTAACGACGAAAACAAGTGAAACGATAGCATCAAGTTTGAATGACAATCATGAAAAGCATCGATAGATTGAACAGCTGCGCTAGCGAAAGCGAAAGTGACAACTGCACCTGTAGCACCAGCGATCTCAAACACGTATCGGATTGTTCTCCTCGTGATCCACAACGGTCATCCGAGAAACGGCGGGCACAGCACCATTCCAGCACCAGTTCGAGGCCCCTGCTCCTGGCAGCGGCGGTAGTGATTCTCTGCCTTTCTTCGTCTCCATCGCAGCATGTTGTCTTTGGATCCTCCAAACACGTTCCATCGGCGAGACGGTTTCTTGGCATTCCATCGTCCTATCGCAGACCACTCGGCGACAAGGCCAACAACAACAACGACAATCGGGGTTCGATCTCCCAAAAGAAGCATCAACATCGAAACCAAAACCAGCGTCCACGGGCGCTGGCGTCGGTGGCTCACTCCCGTTCGTCGTCGACGTTGCTACGCTTTTCGTCGGCTTCCCCCGAGGACGAGAGTAGCGGTCACGACAAGGAGAACAACAAGCCGCCGGCCTCGTCCTTCAACGGCACCTCTCTTTCCTCACCATCGTCCAGCGCCACCGCCTATGACGAAGTGGACGACGAGACAAGTGTCACTACCACCTCATTCTTTCGGTTCCCTTCGGACACTCCCGAGGAGCAGCAGCAACCACCGCTGGACCTTGTGGAAGCCGGAAGCCAGTCGAACGCCCAGTCGTCAATTCTTGGAAGACGCTACTTCGGGTCTGCTCGTTCCCCGAAGGGGCTTGTGCAGAGGAAACATGCTCTACAGACAACATTTGTCTGTTCCCTCATGGGTCTAGCTGGCTTTGTTGAGGGCTTCTGTATTCGGAGGCACGGTTGCTTCCCCAACCTCATGACCGGAACGGTCCTCAAACTGGCCGAGGCCATATCGACCCTCAACCTTTCAGCAGCAGCAATGCACGCGGCAATGGTGGTGGCCTACGCTTCCGGTGGCTCTATCTTTGCGCTGTGGAAGGCTTCCGGAAAGAACGCGAGCAGCATCGACAACGAAAGCGAAACAGTTGCCAAACACCGTCAGAAACGGAGCAGCATCGAGGGAGTTTCGGTCCTTTCGACGCTGTGCTTTTTGTTCTCGGACATCTGGGGCGGCCGCCTGCGGCTACCCTTTCTGGCAGCTGCGTTCGGAATCCTTAACGCCGGAACCATGGACGCAGGCGCCGGGGTGACCAATGCGATCACTGGACACGTGACTAAGATCGGACAGGGTTTCGCCACCAACCGGCCTTCCGAACAGCAGGCAGCGAAGAATGCTGCTCCGCCCGCCCACGTGACGAGTGCCCGTGGCCTTGCCGTGTTTTTCGTTGCGGCCGTCGCCTCGAACGGCCTCTGCGCGTTGCTGGATGCAACCAGCAGGATGGAAGGAGGAAGCGCCCTCGGGCTGGTCGGGGCCGTGGTCAATCGGCTCCCGCTGGGGACGACTCTAGCGGTCGTCTACGGGGTTTTCTTTCGGTGGTACCTGCGCGCCTCTGGAGCTCTGGTGGACGCGGAGGTGGCGACGAAGGAAGCCTAAAATCGGCAACGAGAAGATCCCCGCTAAGGATGGGTTCCCGTCACACCGATCTGGAGAAAAAAGAGCACGGATTCAGTCCATCTTTCGTGCTGTACCATTAATTTTCGAAAACACATCATGCTATAATTTATATGAATAATTTTGAACCAATTCCGGGGCTTTCGTTTTATGGAATGCACACTGATGCCCTCTATCTGAAAGTTTTTTATGTCACGAGTCAAATCAGTTAAAACGTTAACGCCATCATTGGAATAAGGATCCGAAGTGCACAATATTTTAAATATGATGTTATTGTGCAATCCACTTTTATGTGTGAGTATGTCACTTACGTTGGCAATTAAATCAAAGACGTGTCATAGATTTGTATGCATTAATGACTGTGAATTTCAACATTGCTACAAATGGAAGAAGTAAGACGGCCTTTGTGAAGTAGACATGTGATGTTTGGGAGACGTGTCCTAGTGTGGTTGCTAACAAAGTAGTAAATATGTGCATCGTGCCCTGATTGCAGCAAAGAGAAATGCATCAAACTGACAAGAGTGCCAAAATCTCAGTAGGGTAAGTGTGAGATCCAAATGAAGACAGCTTTCGAAATGCCCCTCTGTTACTACAAAGATGTACACAATTGATCCCTGCACTAATCAAGAGGTTCCTAACATTAATTTTAAGATCCCAGCAATAAAATTTTTCCCAAACAAATTCTGTAGAGGTCTACAGAGAAGACTGTTTGCAAATAAATTGCCTGCTGAGAAAGAAGAAGAATTAGTTCTGCTGGGCCATCAGAATCAGATCTGGTGTATCACCAGAATATTTGAAGACTGCCTCTGTACTAGATTTTGTACTGGTTGGGAGCTTTAAATGAATGTTGGGAAGCTATGGCTTGGTGTGGGATCAATCGCTTACATATTTGCGGTAGGAGTAGTATCACCATTTATCAACTGTTGTACTCAGTAAAAGAAGACCTGCAAGAGCAAGAATAAATGAGTTTGCTTCCTTCAGATCTGTTTTCAAATCAAATTCTAAACAAATTGTGTTTGACTTATGGAAGGTCAGAATTGTTTGTTTCCAGTGTTTGTGACTGGTGGATATGATCATTGTATTCCCTTGGATTTGGGCTGATGTTAGTGGTACTAATCATAACAGTAGTATTCTTGCAATTGGTGCTCCTGTTGCACAGCAGTGACAGCAAGACAGCTGCAGACAATTACGTTGCTGCTAAGGGAAGAAGTCATAATAGCATGACAACCAATAGAATACATGAATGCTCCTCTATTAGTACTATTGTTTTAAAAAAGTTAATCTTGTAGTACTTGTTCCGTGATGTAAATTTCTGATAAAGTACTACTAGTAGCAGTAGTAGCTAGCACACAGAACATCAGAGAGCAAGAAGCACATAAAATAGTAGTGGCAATTAGCATTATCATTGACCTAAGTTGTTCATTAGAGTGAAAGTAACAAAATAAATTCACTTTGTCAATGTATTTTATTTTATATTGTTCCTAGTCGCTACTGGCGATGCCACAAAACAGCTGCAAATGCAACAGTTGAGGAGGAGGTTGAGAGTTGTACTTCCTCTGTCCCTGTGCACCTTTTCTACTGAAATAAGAAGCCCAATAGTAGTATTTGAGCAATTGTAATCATTATTATTTCTTTTGTACTCCTTACCAGATAAATATAATACAACTACAGTTGTCTTGATTGCATTAAGTGGTGGTGGTGGCTAGTACCACACCACATGGTTTCCTAGCTACTATTCAAATAATAGGGCCCATCTTGTGATATCAATGTGCTTTTACTGTTATTTGGTTCTACTAGTGGTAATTTAGATATGCTGCTACTTACACACAATAGCCAAGATTAAAACAATTTTATGAGGCTACTAGTAGTAGTATACTTCTCTCTAACATGGAAGAAGGCTTTCTAGTTTTATTTCGTTATTCTTGTTCGCAGGAGGAGTTGGTGGCATACACTATAGTGAACATCATTTTGTTTCCCTTGCTAACACACTAGGGAAGACAGTTGTCAACCAAAAACAGGTTTTCCTATTGATTTTCTCAATCACCATGTTTAAACAAAGACAAGACAAGAGACAAGTAGAGTATTTGTCAGCAGGCAATATTCTCTTTCTTTCTCTTTCTTGTATAAACATCCAGAGGAAATCAAAGAGAAACAAGAAGAGGTAATGTTATCTTTGTTTCTCATCTTTGTATAAAGATAAAGAAACAAAGATAAATATTGCCCAGTAGGCAATACTATCTGTATGAACAAGCAAATGTCCTCATCATTTTATAACCAGCAGATTGTCTTCTTGTTCTCTCCTCTGCTTCAACAAGCAAAGAAGAACAATGCAAATATTGCCCAGGAGGCAATATTGGCTGTGTTTCTCCTTGTTGTTAAAACAATGGGAAAAATGGAGAGGCAATAGTCTCTTAGTTTCTCTTTGTTCTTGTAACAACAATGCAGAAGAAGAAACAATGAGAATATTGCCTGTCAAACAACAAAGAGAAACAATTCTATCCGCTTCTCCTTGTTTCACAGCAGGGTGTACACGAAAACTTTTAGTTGTAGAGGGCCCAATCACTTCAAGTGAAAAAATAATTATTGATCACATGCATGCTCATTTTTTCTATGGTGCTAATTCTAAACCTTCTTTGCAGCCATTCATGGAATTCAACTGCAAACAATGTGACGAACTCAAAAAATGCCAAGTAAATATGGGACACTCTACTTGGGATAGCAAAAAACACCACAGGGTAACCTTGTTTTTCATCTTCTTGCTGCTGGTGGATGCTGGTGGGCAGGCGGTGGTGGCGTAGTAACAACAACAAGAAAGAACAAAGAGGAGCAAAAGTGACTCCTGCTGGTGGTGGTGCTGGTGGTGGTGCTCCCTCTTCTTCTTCTTCTTCTCATGGTTCTGTTTGTTTCGGCTGCTCTTTTCCAAAAAGGTAGTCTCACTTCTTGTTTACAATGAATCTGTAGTTCTACAAGTCATTGAGAATCAGCTAGGACTACTAGTAACACTACTACCATTTGTTGTAATAGAAAATGCATTGCAGATTCTATACCCCGCATGCGCCCTTTGTATTATTAATGCTAATGACCGTTACCAGGCCTTACATTACTGCCCTAACCAAATCCTACAGAGAAGCGCAGTCTCGTTGCGCCACAAAAATCCGAGATTTTTTGGCGCGCGGAAGTTTTGGATTCGCCGGATAGGGTCGGTAGTGCTGCCATCGAGCTACGGTCAGCACCGTAGGAGATGGAGTCCGGCCGCCTGCCGCATGTGCGGGCGCGCCTCATTCGTGAGGGTCGTTTTGGCCGATATTGGGACACGGGCAGCTCGGCTCCGCGACGAATTTGGTACGTCGGCATCCGATGCTCGGCCCCATCTTTTGCCAGCCGACCCCTCTGGACCTAATTGCTCTGCCAATACGGAGCCGCCTGCACAACCCGCGCGTGGTTCAAATACAAAATCGTCCACTAAAAATCCCAAAACAGGTCTCCCCCTTCGGAAGAACAAGGAAATCACATACAACCGAGGCGGTCCTCGATGGCAATGCACATGCCCCACACATACTCGTACAAGTACCCTACGGCACAATACAGACTCCGCGGAACGTTACCGTACGTATCCTTCCTCGGTGGTCGACCAAAATAAAATAGTAGAAGTATTTGAATTGCTGAATCCACCAAGCGCCCCGGCATTCGTACCGTACGACACCGAACACACATCACCGACCTTTCCATTTCCGTTTCGCACTCGTGCATAGAGCAACCACGAGCCAAAGTCCAAAGCCGAAACACAGGAACAAAGGCAAAGCCGCAACCCCATTTGAGTCGATACAAACAAGCTCGTTGCCTTTTGGTCTGGCCATTTCGTTGCCGTATTCGTTGGGATTCCTTGAACGCGATCGAACCCCAGCCTGCTGTCCAGAAAGCACATTCGAAGCACCGCACCGMACCGCATCGAACAGAACAGAACACAAAAGAATAAAACCATAATCCACCTCCCGGAAATTCTTTCGATTCCATTGTTTCGGAGACGGAGACACGACAAAAGACGCACAAAAAAAACGCACACCGTCGAACCCAATCAACCCAACCACAAGCAGAATGGTCCAGGCACAAAGATTCGTGGCGTCGGCATTCGGGGGCCTCCTGGTGTCTCCCGCGTTCTTCCCCGGCCACATCGGGCTCGCGGACGCGCAGCAGGCGGCCATGTACCCGAACGACCTCTACCACTGCAACGATCCCACCAACGAGGAAAACAAGCTGGCCTGCGACTTTGGCACCCACCGGTGGGACCTCGACGCCCTCGATCCGAAGGCGCCACCGGACGATTCCGGCCTCTGCTCGGAGCTCGTCGACATTCTGGTCCGCGCCAAGGAGCAGGAGCAGGCCGCGGCCGGCCAGCTGTCCTCGCAGCAGCAGACCCTGCAGGCCGACATTTTGGTCTGGGAGACCATCATGGAGACCTCGGTCGTCGATTCCCTGGAACCCTGCGTGCTGTGGGCCATGACCTACGGGCGTCTGATGCGGTGGGGATTCCCGTCGCCGCCTCCGGGTAAGCAGCACCAGGAGGTCCAGGTCCAAGATTCCGGTGAGTCGGACGGGTGAAACAGAAACGGCCCGGTGCAACGCCGCACGGTGCCACGATTTCGTCGTTGTTGTCGTCTTTTTTGTCGTTGTCATCGTTGTCATCGTTGTCGTCGCTCGCATTCTCACCCGGTTTGGTGCCTCGTTCGTTTTCGTTTTCGTTTTCGTTTTCGTTTCATCGAACATCCACAGAAAACCCCGACCCCTCGGACGTCAGCGTCGCCTTCGATACGATCCTTTTGACCCTGGTCTGGGACCGCGGCCTCGCCGACCCCCTCCTGTACGACAGCACCCAGCTCCACCAACTCACCGGACAGCACATGCTGGACTCCCTCAAGGCCGAGCTGGGACCGTCCGAGGGCCCCTCCGTCGTTGAGTTTCTGGATCTGCGCGTGACGGCCGGACTCCCGGACTACGACACCCGGTCCCTTCCGCTGACGCTCACGGGCCGGGTGGTCTTCCGGGACTCCCGCCAGGCCCTCGGGCCCTCCAGCCTGCGCCGGGTCCTGCTCCACTCGGCCTTTGAGGATCCGGAGGCCATGGACCTCTACCTCTTCCGGTTGAGGATTGCCTCCGATCCAACCCTCAACGAGGTGGACACGGTGTTGGCGGGGCGGGAGGCCCTGACCGAGTTCATCCTGCAGCAGGGCAAAATCGACACGGACACGGACCCATCCCGGTACGAGCTCGACCCAAAGAAGCCCGTCATCGACACGAGCGAGATGGACCTCTCGGAGGAGGACGAGGGATTCGTTTCCAACCTGCTGATTGCCATTATTTCGGCCGTGGTGGCCGCCATTGTAGCGGTCTGCTGCTTTGCCTACTGCCTGATCTGCCGGTCGCGGACCTCGGGACAGGCCTTCAAGACGCTGGAGGAACACAGCCTCGTCGACGAGGAGGTCCTGCCGCCTTCGGCCTTTGAGAAAAAGCTCCAGTCCCACGCCGACGACGGGGTTCCGGCCGTAAGAACGGCCTCCACCAAGGAAATGGCGGACGACAACGAGGAGTACGACATCGAGTACGTGACCGGGAGCCAGGTCGACGACGGGGTTTCTGACTACGAAATGGATACCCTTCCGCCCCCGTCTACATACTTACCGGACACGGACGACGAGCGAAGCGTTCTCATGAGTGTCATGGACGGATACGACGAAGAAATCGCCGCGGAAACCTTTACCGACGAGGACCACGAAGACCACAATTACGAAGAGGACACCCAGAGTGTTGGTTCCGATGCCAACACCAGCTTGTATTCGTACATTCCCGACGACACCTCTCTTACGGCCAGTCTCGTCAATCCAAGCGGTCCTTTGTACAAAAGCAGGAGCAACACCGGTGGAACCTTTGGCAGCGAGAAGGGCAAGGACTCGAAACCACAGACGCCCGAAACCACCGCGCAAACGGCCCAAAACAAGAGCCTTTTGTGGTCCGTCATGGATTCGCTCGACAAATCACCGACCGCGGACACGGACAGCGACAAGGCCGAGGTCTATATCGAACACAGCTCCCGGAAACCCAGGATTGCCAGCCCCCGCAGACCCAAGATTACCAGCCCCTCGACCATGCTTGGACCATCGCCGAGTGACGACGACTCCCGGTCTCACGACTCGGACAGCCTGCTCTACGGCACCGAGGACGACCAGGAATCGGGCCGCGTTGCTGCGGCCGTGCCGCACGGGCACAGCGAGGCAGAGCAAGAGCAACCACCGCAGTCCCAACCAGCCGCTCCCAATGCACAAAAGAAGGAAGAGTTCGAGGAGCTTTGGAAGGACGAGGACGAAGCAGACGAGGCAGAATCCGTCATCGGATTTTTCTCGCTGGTGCAATCCGCGAGAAGATCTTCCGAGGCTCCGACCGACGGCTCTCGTGCCGGCGCCGACGAAAACGAGAATGCCGTAGATACACCTCGCGGGGACGACGCCGAAACCAACGCGAAACCGACGGCTTATGGTGCCAGTGACGAAGCGTTGGTGGATCGGGTGCCCGAGAAGGAGGAAGAAGAATCTCAAGACACGGAGGGCGAGAAAGACCCAAAACTGAGTCTGCCCCTTCCCACCCCGCTCGAATCCACCCTGCAAGAAGAGACCAAGCCAACCACCGCTGTTCCAACAATATCGAGAAGCGCAGATGATTGCAGCGTGTCCGGAAGCAGCGTCTCCAGCACGGATTCGTCGAAATTTCGCTCCTTGCTCGGCCAGAGCGACACCAATGATGCGGCTCTGTTATTTGGCAGACAACAAAAGGACGACACCCCCGATGCCGAGGTTTCAATGTCGTCATGCACATCCAACCAGTTAAAATCTCTCTTGACGCGAAAAGGAGAATCGGATTCGAGCGACGAGGAGGCAGACGATTTCTTGTTCAAGGAAACGGCTGTGCCAGAGACCAAGACTACGAGGAGGATCGTGGTACAAGAGGAAGAAAAGAAAGAAGGAGACTTTGGAGACAACGACGAAGACCAGGAGCATAGCAACAGGATGTATCTACCAGCTGCGATCCGACCAAACGCATCAAGCACTCCCAGAGGAGCAAGATCTCCAGAAATGCACAACAACGACGACGACGCTACTGTTTACAGCGTTCTCAGCGAAGCTCCGAGTGTCGACGAGTCCATTGGATCAGAAATGGGATGGTTTTAAGAACCTACTGATACGATTTGTGTATGAAAAACTAGGAAAAATCATAAATGTTTGCAACATTCACTACTTCGTAATGGTGCGATATGCTGTACAAAGCAACTAAAACCATGTTTAATGATTGATCGATTGTGAAAGCCTCGTAGCTTGTCTGAATTGCAGTGACTGTATTGATTCGGCAATGAAGCCTCCACCGGTCCAACAGCATAGGAAAATTAATGATCATCAACAAAAACGGTCTTGGCCCTACCCGCTGGTATGGAACCCCATCCCTTTCAAATATTCCTGCCTGTTTTGTAGTGTGATGTGGTACCGTACCTATGCTTTCTAGTGTCGTATTACGGGGTTTCCAATAAAGGGTGATGTCATTCACTAGCTACTCGTGATCGTGCTTTGTTCTCACAATAAACTGCGAAATGTGCGGTACGTATCCTCTCTCTAGTATGGGGTTTACAACAAAGAGTGAGGTTACTATTCACTGTGAGCCGAAATCACGAGTAGATAGTGAATAAGCTCACCTACCTCAAGTACTCGTCACAGTGCTTTGTCCTCACATTTGTAGCGCAGGGTCTGAATTCTGACCCCTATGTAGGGTAAGGTACGGTAGGGTAAGGTAAGGTAAGAGGACGGACGGTTCGGTAGATTGCGTTTCATAGGTTGGCTAACCTAGGAAATAAATCAGGCATATTTACCCCAAAAAAGTAGATGTACTGTACGGATTGAGGACGGACGGTTCGGTAGATTCCGTTTCATAGGTTGGCTCACCTAATAAATAAATCAGGCATATTTACCAAAAAAAAGTACTGTACGGATTAGATTGAAGCCATCATTCGTTAAAAGAAGAACAGATTTTTATTAAGTAATTCCGAGTGCAAACTGGACTTCCCACACCTATCTTTTTCTCGTAATTAAACTTCTCGAAAATCAGGTAGGTTAAATAGACACCAGGAACGTTTCGTTCGACTTTTTCTCGCAATAAAGGTCCTCGAAAATCAGATCGACCAAATAGACAACAGGGATGTTCGCAAGATCAATCAAATTGCCGAAAAATAAGCCTATTTCAGGATAAGTTGATTAAAAAAGGTCGTTTAATTTTCATTCGAAAAGATGATGATACTGTACGGTAAGCGAACATGTGAGTAAATTCTTAAGGGTCTTTTTACCTTCTTATGTACGGTATTTGTCTCAAGGTGTTCTTCCACTTCTTATCTGCTGATTTTCAGTCCTGACAATGTGTACCAGTACTTCTTTTCTGTGCACATTACATTGTAAGTCAGTACTGTACCATGTAGTAAATCGTAAATCACGAACGTGATGGTCATCCGGTTCTCACCTCTTTCACAACATTTCTTTTTCTCGCTACCCAATCGGCCTACCTATCAGGATGAATCCTGATACCCATACCTCTCTACTGTAATTCATCAACGATAACAGCGATGCCAACGTCTCCAGACCAGAGTTCTGCGTTGATATTACTGTCGAAACCAAGGTTGCTTTGTTTGCATGGATCCGGCTCGAATTCAGTTGTAACCCAAGCACAACTAAGGAATCTCGGATTCCACAAGTGCTTCGGAGTGACCCATTTAGTCGCTCCTTTGCTGTGCTCTGGCGAGATCGACGAAAATGTCAGGTCTGTGTGCGAGGATGGAAGTTTCTATTCATGGATGAACAAAACGAAAGATAATAAAGGTTGTTTACCGGACTTAGTCGCGTCGCTGAAGTTCGTTCTTCGGCACGTCATTCAAGAAGGTCCTTACGATGCTGTATATGGATTTAGCCAAGGAGCGGGCATTGCTGCAATTCTTTCTTGCAGGGCCATCCGCAAGAAGCTTTTGTGGGATATGGGAGAAACTAAGGTTGACGAGAACCCCGCCACGGACAATCCTTGGAAATTCATCTTTGCCGCATGTGCAACACTGCCGATTCCCTGGCGGGATATCACCCATTATTTAAAACTTAGCACCATTACTTCCATTGAAGTTCCAAGCGTTCATTTGATAGGTATCGATGATCCTTTGAAACAAAGCTCGGAAAGATTCTTCGACGATTTCAATGGAGACGACGACAAGAAGCTCCCGGTATATTTTGAAGGTGGCCACGAAATCGTGAGCACCTCCGGTAGTCTAGGGCGAGCTTCCTACGCCGCAATTGAGTGGTTTTCTAACTTCAATCCGAAATGGATCTTGCCAAGCATTGGATTCGATGATTCACCACTCTGTGCGATCGCGAAAGAGATAAATGGCTTCACTGTGGGATCTTCTTCCCAAGAAACCTTGAACGGGACTTTTGGGCAATATCAGTTAAACGCCATCTGCGACCGTGATTTCGATCTAAGCATGATGAGGCTACTGGAGAACGAAGAAATTGAGCACAAAATCGCATTTCGGGCGCCCGGCAAGGCACCGATGACGTATGGTGCACTCCGTAGGTTTGTGAGGGGTCGGGGTAATCTATCTACCATTGGATGCACACGCGGCGACAAGGTGGCGTATTTGACTCCTTACGGAGTGCTGGGTGCGGTAGCGTTTGTTTCGATCTCGGCCCAGTGTACAGCGGTACCACTGGACCCAGAAAGCAGTTCTGCAGACCTCGTCATGGCGTTTCGTCAGCTTCGACCAGATGTGCTTATCGTGTTCGATGATTTGGGGGCCGACGTGTGTGAACAAGCCAGTTCAACCGCAGCGAATGCAGGGGTACGGGTGATTGATGCAAGCGGAGATTTCAAAGAGGCTACCTTCTCGTTCGCCGATTGCGAACAAAATAACAAAGACATATTAGAAAATAAAGGAAGTGATACGTGCATTCTCTTGCGAACGAGCGGTACAACAAGTGAACCAAAAGTAAGTCCCCAGGTTGATGGACTTCATATAAAGTTGTTCGTGGTAACTTATGGTTGTCCGTACATCGCTTACTGTCATAATTCATTCTTTTGCGTATTGTTTAGATTGTTCCCCTGGACACGTGGAGTATCCTAACAAATGCTATCGCGATCGCAAACAATCTTGGTCTCCGGGACACCGATGTTGCACTCAATGCAATGCCTCTATTTCATATTGGTGGATTGATGACGAACCTGCTCGCATCCTTTGTTTCCGGTGGGTCGTCAATTTTTTTGCCCAAATTCAATGTCTCCACATTTGCCGAAAGATTGACAAAAAGCAAAGGCGGAGTTGTTGAGCCGACGTGGTTCAGCACCGTGCCTTCAATTCTAGCGGCGTTGGAAAGCTATGTTTCTTCGTCGGAAGAATCGTCGTTGTTGCGCTCTTCCCTCCGTTTTGTTCGGGTGGGTGCCGCTGCAATTTCCGACGATCTGATCATAAAATGCCAGCAGACGTTTGGATGCAGGGTTGTGCCGACGTACTCGATGACTGAATGTATGCCCATCTCGCAGCCTCAACAAGACGCTACCATTGTCGACGAACGGCCCGGCAGTGTAGGACGGGCACTTGCTGTTTCGATATGTATCGTGAATTCGAATCTGGTGCCTCTGCCATATAGAAAAAAAGGCCGCAGCGAATCAATTATCGGAGAGGTCTGCATTTCCGGATCCACCGTCACTAAAGGTTATCTTTCGAACGATGAAGCAAACCGCAGCGCATTCTTTCGTCTAGCCAAGAAGTCCTGGTTTCGAACGGGAGATCTCGGTTATCTCGACCGAGATGGATATCTCTATCTAACTGGTCGAAGCAAAGACATGATCAAAGTCAACGGCGAGCAGGTTTCTCCGATCGAAGTCGAAGAGGCCTGCATGAGATTTCCCGGTGTGGAGCTTTGTATCGCCTTCTCCCAGCCCTCCAACAACAGTTGGGGCGAGCAGGTGGGAATTGCCTGTGTGCTGTCGGCCTCAAACTTCGATAGAGGTCATTCTTCTCTCGTTGACGAGATGGAATTCCAAACTGAGTTGCGAAGATTTCTCAAAGTGGAGCAGGGCCTGGTCGATTGGAAAATTCCAGAGCGGATCCAAATAGTTTGCGAGGGCGACCTCCCAAAAACCAAGAGCGGGAAATACAAGCGCGCGGGGCTGGACAAGATTCTGGACGAGGCCTATCCAAGCAGTGCCACAAATCAGCCCATGGCCGATCGAGACTATTTGGCGAAGAAGATGTCACCCTTGCATCCTGCTGCCGTTGGTGTTCAATTTGTTCTCGCTGTAGCTGTCATGTACGTACACATCGGTAACTTGAACGTGTGGGCGATCGATTCTCCGACCGAAGGTTCAGGAACCTACTACTACCAGCGATTGGTGGATCGAACAGGCGTGGGGGCGTTTTCGGAATGGTCGAACACCAGGACGTGGTGCTTCCACACACCTCTGTTCTTTTTCGTCGGGGGATTTTTGCTCGCAACGGGAACCCACTCCCCGATATTGGGGAAAAGCGCGCTCCTCGGCTTCTACAAGGTACGGATCTTGTCCCTCCACCCGATGTATCTACTAAGCGTTTTACTATGCGTGGCGATCTTTGTGGTGCAGTGCCATCCGGAAAACTTCATCCCCGGGTTCGATCGAACCCGCACGCCGATTGAGGGCGAAGCCTTTGTCTGCCAAGCAGCCCCCGTCGAAATGAGTTGGGGAGGAACTTTGATTTCTTCTATAGTGACGTATTCCTTGCTTCTTCAATCGTGGCCTGTGGCGATACCGTTCACCTGGTTTCTGTCGTACTACACTTGGTTTTCGTCGGTATATATGTTTTGCATATTTGTCTTTCCGTGGTGCCACAAACCATTCTTTGCTGCAAAAGACGACCGAACCGCTCTCTGGAAGCTTACCATATCCTGGCTTGGTGCTCTATATGTCTTCGTCGGAATTTTCTCTGCCGGGTTGGCCGTGAGCGACAATGAATCCACTCTCAATTGGTAAGAGTTTATAAACTACTCCAAAGAGACCTTTGTGTTGTGCATCCAGACAAACCCAGATAACTTGCTCACCACTGGCTGGCATATTGCTTTCATTGTGTTTCCAGGTTCGCGCTCTCGATGTACCTCTTTCCACCAGGTTGGCTGCCCTGTTTCTCTCTCGGCATAGGGGCCTCGTTTCTTTTGGAACACTATCGTAGAAAGGGCGAAGTCGCAAGGTACGCTAAAGTATCGGGGCTGTTGACAGATTTTATCAGCCTTTTCTTGCTCGCTGGATGGATCTTTTACGGAACCTCCAGCAGTTCTCTCGCGGCGCCGTCTTCCGTAGTGACGGACATCGGGGAAAGGTACTGGGCGGCTTACGTTTCGAGGCTCGTCTGCCCCCTCGGGTTTGTCTGGTTTATTGGCCTCGCCATCGGAAGGGGGGTTACTGCGAGGATTCTATCCCGGCACACCGTCGTCTGCTGGCTCGCACCGTCGAGCTACAACGTCTTTCTCTTCCACCAGCCGATCAGCGAGCTATACTTTTTCGCCACCCGGAGAATATGGTGGGCGTACCCAAAGAGCTTTTATTGGTTCAGCCCGTACCCGATCCCGGTAAAGACATGGGAAATCCCAATCGTGATGACCATTGTGATTCTCTTTTCGATGCTGATGCATTTCTATGTGAATGGAGTGCTCATCGGCGCAACAACGAACTGCATTCGTTGTGGTTTCAAGGGCGAGAGGCAGCAAGACGGCGAAGCATCCCACGACCACGGTCAGCACCACCCGGAGATCAAATCTGTCGCGACCATCGTTCTCGAAACAATCGCCAGGGTCTGTCACATCGATCCATCGAGGCTGCGGGGCGAAACCGATCTGACCGAGATCGGCATGTCAAGCATGACGCTGCCAGTGGCGATATCGGAGATCAATAGCGCACTGAAATCGCACCCGTCAGAGGCCAAACTCGCACTGAGGCACGTTCAGAGCATGGGAAGCATCACCGACCTTGTCTCTCTGGCGAGCGAGGGAGGAAGCAGCCGGGCGATGCGATCGTCGCTGCGTGCATCGAGGCTCAGCCGCTCTGCCTCGAGGGTCAGCCTTGGCAGCTCGAGGCACAGCACAAACTTTTCTTTGTTCGGAAACAACAACGACGCCGAGTCCTCCGAGGTCGAGGACGTCGAGGAGGGGCTACGTTTCTAGCATTTCACGGCATGACACCGTTGTCGCAGCACCTTGTTGCTTGGTTCTTTTCACCAACAGATTGCAAAGAAGCACCTGGTTTGAAAATTCTTGACGATACCCATTCTCGAGTGGGCTACCGTAGTCGAATTACATCCAGCCACATCAGTGTGCTCATTCTTTTTAAAAAAAATACTGAAGCAAGACTCGATGCTCCCGGTCTGTCATGCATCATCCGTGCGTCGGTTCAGGAATGAAATCCTGACTCCACCGTACCGTATGTACCGTAAGAACATACAGTTAGCTTGAAATATGAGGTCATAATTAATCACTAGCTACTCGGGATTAAGCCTCACAACCCTAGTTGACACCTTATTGCCCTGTCGAGTTCGATTTTCAAACAATTCTGTGTACGCTAAGATTGCAAAGTGTACGTATGCTCCCCAGTTTCACAAAAAGGGATGTTTACATTGGGCTCATAACCTGCAAAGTGTACGTATGCTCCTTAGTGTCACATAAAGGGATGTTTACATTAAAGAGTGAGCGTGGTGATTATTCACTCACTATCTACTCGTGATCTACGTGATTTACATGTTACTGGCTCACAAAGATAACTACCGTACGGCTGATCAGGTGCGATAGGAGGACCCCTGAATCGAGGGTGAATCTGCGAGGCACTGCCAAACCATATCTGTTGGAACAAAAACGGATAGGAGTAAAGAAGAACAAAACTTGCGTTCAAAGTGGAGAGGCAAGTAGAATCACAAGAACAAGGTATTATAGAACAAGGTATTATATATTACATGAAACGCATTGAATGCGAAAGCATTCAATACTACTCTTGAAGTTACATGGATGTTTCGGTAGCTGCATGTTTGCAAAGAAGACACCGCGGGCACATCCAATTGGAAAATAGCCATCTAGGTAGCTAGTTACCTGTATATCCTGCTGATAACTTAGAATGAGCATAGGAGTAGTACTTCTGTACCACGGTACTGGTTGTGGTGCATCGGTAAGAAGAAGAACGGTGAAATCCGAGATCCAGGGATTTTGTATATCTGAAACCAAACTACCATACCAGGGATGGAGATAAATTTAGCCTGCGTGTTGGCCTCTATCATTATTCATGGCGAAAACAGTAAGATTTTCCTCGTGTTTCACGGAAGCAAGCAGTCGCGTTGGTGTGTTTCCACTATGGTGACAAAGCTTTGCTTTTCCTGGCGCTGTTGTTTCGTTCTACCAGCTGCTGTTCGATGATGAAGTCATAGTCGATAATCTTGACCGACAATCAATCTTAGGGTTTGGGTTGGCCCTTTCTATTTGTTATCAAACCCAAGAAAGTACCACACCAGAAACAACGTCAATCCCGGAATCAGAAGCATGATTAAACACACCGTGAAATGCAGAAGGTAGTTGGTCTTTTTCTTCTGTCTTGTGGCGGTCTGCCTCTTCTTGCGCGCAACAACGGCTTCTTTTTTGGTCGGGTGCGTAAAAATATGTCTGGGGATTTCATTCTTCTTGTCTCCGCCCTTGTGTTCCGCGCTCGGGTTTCTGGTGCCTCGTTTCTTGTTCGCTTTGTCGTTGACTGGGTTCTGTCCGTTTCTCCTGTCCTCCTGCTCGTGCACGTTGATCGAAAATTCGGTTGACGATGTTGTCGGATGCGATGATGGATCCTTGCCACCCGACACCGTTGAGCATTCTTCGCCCTCGGAGGTGGAATAGCTGTCTTCGTAGTGCAGGTCGGATGGAGGATCCACGCGCTTCGGAACCCATTCGAAGTGAGACGGCTCGACGTCGTTTCTGCCGCTTGTTTCGATGGCCGGCGCTATTGTGGGCATGTACATGCACCTCATCTTCTCTTGGTCGTTGCTTGCATACGTCTCGTAATAACGACGGATTTGATGGCTCAGGTTGTTGGTACTTTGGTTTTCCTTGGTGCTGCCTCCCCCCTCGCTGCTGTCGCTGTTATAAAAATGCACCGTCGTCTCTCCCGAGAAGTCGATGCGCTTCGCGGACGGTGGGGGAGAATTTCGAACATATTTGGAGGAATTCCCCCCCTTTATGCTGACGACGGTTGTGGCCGTTTTGGCGTTGTAGCTCGCAAAAGCGTGGTTGTTGCTCTTCGTTAGATGCATCATGGTCTCCTGCACCGCCGCGTTGGCCTTTGAAATCGCGGCGTCCTGTTCTCCCTGTTCGAAACCCGGTCGGGTGGGTGGTCCCCAATCCGACTGTGCCGTCATCGCGCTTCTGGTGCTGTTTGCATGTTGGCTGCTTCCGTCCGAAAAGTCCGTTGTTTCCGGTGGGGGATCCACGGGTTCCAGCTTAGGTGGAGGAGACGAGTCTTGTTCTTGGTCGGCTCCCTGGGCTATTGTACGGAAGGGATTTCCCCAGTACGACGAGTGGTGAGAGGATCCCGACGTGGACGGATCCCGCACGGGTTCCGGCGTTATTAGTGCTCCTGCTTCCAGGTCTGTGGTTGCTTGCGCCGCGTCGTTCTGGCTGGGGTACCGAGTCTCGTTGTAATCGACCTCGGCTTCGCCTCCACCATTGACGTATGCGGTGGTTTGCCCGGTTCCGGAAGATCCCCGCCCTGGTTCTTGGTGTCGCTCGGGAGATTCTGTGTCCGAATCGACCGGTTTCAACAGAAGGCTTCGATTAGAAACCCAGGGGGGCGTCCATTTCTTCATCGTGGGACGAGTTGAAGTGGGGAGAGGATCAGCACCAGACTGCTCTGTTACCGGCGACTCCTCATCGCCTTCCGTATGATTGACCTCCATGGCAGCGGGAAACCAATAAATCAAGAAGTTGTTTCAATAGAAGAACAATAAGATACTGGTTCTTGTGCTCTTTCCTAGGATGGGCGCTATTTCTTTTGAAATTCTGTCGAGTTCTTGGGAGACGACACTCTTCAGTTTGACGTGCCTCTAAGAATTAATGGTCGTCTCTTGCAATCTGTTTTCACGTGATATTTTGTTCGATGGAGGAATGCAGCGCGCTTGTCAGAAATTTGTCCACAAATTCATCGACAAATTTGAGTAGCATGTTTAATGTTTAGCACCATGAATATAGAATTTAAAAACTTTTACCGGTGATTGAAATTTCAAACTTCAATGAAGTGAAGTAAGTACCAAGTACCGTACCGTACGGGCTTGATTGGAATGCGAAGAAGAAGTTTTAGTACAAGTACTATTCGTAATAGTATTACTGTAAAGGTAGGTTCGGCGTGAGGCTGGGACAAAACGCACAACAGTCGCAAGAATACATACGGTACGAGATGACTATCACTGTTAATTACAGTATTTAATAAACCCGCATCCCGTACGTACTTTTGTCTTATCGATAAATTAAATTACATCTATAATAGTGCCTTTTCGCCAGAACAACGCATGACACCAACAGAAAAATATCACGATAAATAGTTGTATCAGAATGATAAAAAAACATTTCTATACCTCCGAGGCCACAGTACGATTCTGGTGGTATCAACAAAATGAAATAAATTCTTTGGAGAAGCTAGACCCGAGTTTGATAGGCTCTCTAGTGCCCAATGATTACGTGTTTACAATAAAGAGTGAGCTTATTCACTATCTACTCGTGAATTAGGGTCACAACGCGTTCCAAAATCGGGATTGCCCTGCGGCGCGCTTTCAACAAGTCACCCGAAAAAACCTCCCGAGCCAATTTGAATGCGCCAGGACAGTACCGTACAGTGAGCGTTATTAGTATTATTGTTAATACCAGTGCTTCCTAGTGAAATAGTAATACCATTACGAGTGCCTTATGAGGAAGATGATTTTCGATTTTCATAATCCAATTGGTTCTATGTCCTCTGTGACCAAACGTAGCCTATTCTTCTTTGTTCAGTATGGGACGGTACCGCATTGTGTATGTACAAGACGAAAACAATCTTGCCTTCAATGGTATTCTCAAAACAACCCGCCCACTGGCCAGTGTCTGTTTCACTCATTTCTGGTTTTAGTTGTAGTAGTAGTCAGGGTAGTAAACAGGAAAAAAGGTTGTTCGCTTGTTTCTGTTCTAAATTCAATTTCCCACAAGAAAGATCGCTGGGAAAAAAAACGACAGAAATCACTACCTACATGATGACTGCTTTGAACGGAAATCGATCAGTATAGCTACGGAGGCTTCGAAAATGATAATCATTTCCCGCCTGTAGCATCTGCTTATTTTCGAAAACAACGACTGGTAACTCTGCCCATCTTGGACTTTCTTTCCTTCATGATTTTAGAATGCCATTGGTGTACATGTCATTGCTGGCAGCGGAGAATAGAAACCCGTGAAACTCCTGTACCTCTCTCTAGTCATTCACGAGACGCTGATGAGTCCAAGCAGTGGGAGCTGATACGAAACTATTTTATTGTACAGAAAACAATGAATGTATTACACATAAATATGAATATTCACCAGTTCGAAAAATACATCCGTGTTTCCACGACACAGCATTGGTCGCATACTGTTGTGCCGAAAGGCACCGCCTCCCCTCAGGCATCACGATACATCGATTGCTCGTACCGAATCACCTTGTTGGGAGGTGGCTGGTCTCCGTAGATCCAATCGGCCTCGCTCCCCCCGCTGGGCTTGAAGACCAGGGCGGCCCCGTCGATGCAGTACCGCTTCCCCGTCGAAAAGGCCATCGTCCCGGGGTAGACCCACCCGTCGTTAAAGACGTCCCCCAGGTGGCCCCCGCACGTCCCGCAGCGGACCTCCCTCCCGTCCAGGGTGGCCCGGATCGGATCGAGGTCCTCGGCCTCGACCCCGTCCAGGGCTTTCGCAAAACTCGGCCAGCCCGTCCTCGAGTTGAACTTGGCGCTGCTCTCGAAGAGGTCTTCCGAGCACCCGGCGCAGGAATAGATCCCTTTTTGGTCCTCGGCCGTGAAGGTGTGGAGGATCGAGGACCGCTGCCGCTCGGTCCCGCCCCTCCTCAGGATGTTGTACTGGGCACCGCTCAGGATGTAGGCCCACTCGCGCTCGGTGTGTTGGACGGCGTACCCGTCCGTGCGGCTCTTTCGGGGGCCAGCGGCGACGGCGCTCCCCGGCCGGGAGGCCATGCCGGAGGCGCACGCGCATGCGGAGGCCGCCGCGGACAGGACCTGCCTCCGGTCCGGACCGGTGGAAGGTGTCGGCGGCTGGTGTGCGTCTCCTTCTCCGTTGCGTTCGCGTTCGCCGTTTCCCGTTTCGGTGGCGGCACCGAGTTCCAGGGTGCCCCCACTCGACCGCACTCTCGCCGCAAGCCCCGGTGTCGAAAAGGCAAGGGCGAACGAACCGTCGGTGGCCGGGCTCGGCACCGAACCCGTGCCCGCCAACAGAAGACAAACTCCCGCCAGAATTACGGCGGGCCGCATCGCGAGGGCCAGGGGTTCATTCGCTGCGAAAAACGAACGACTTCGACGGGGGTTGCGGCTGCGTTTTCCCATGCTGACCATGATGTGGACGATGTGATTGAAGACCTCGCTTTACTGGTGAGTTACGGTGTTGTGTTTGCACAGTGTTTGGAGGTTGACTAGTAATGGTCCGATGCTATTATGAATTGATCGAGAAGATGTATGATTCGTCGTACAGTACTACGCGTAAAATAACAATTGAAACACCGTTAATTTAGCGTTAACATTCCGAATGTTAGTGTTAACATCCCGGACGTTAGTGAAGTAGGCCTACGTACAATCTCTACTATACCCGGTGGGGGACAGGCCGGCAGGCCACCAGCTGCTGATCCAGCTGCTCAGCGAGGACCAGGATCAGTCTATTTGGATGGATCCTAGTACAAAGCTGTGTAGAAAATCCTGTAGAAAATCATGGATCAAGGTATATGCCTTGCCATTTTGGTCAAAATAGAAGGGTTTTGATCACGCGTTCAAAATTGTACTGAGGCCCACTGTCGTGACCTTTACCTACCTCCAGCGTGCTGATCCAGCGTGCTGATTCCAGCACACACACTAAACTGTTCTTTCATTCTAAAGAAAACTACTCGGTTCAAGCAACCGACCATGGGAATTGCTCCATTTCAAGCACTTCCACTCAATCTTTCTTACTGTTCTTGGTATCAATCGTTACTAGCTCTCTTCGATTGTCGATTGAACACTGCTTGAACCATAGAAAAGGACCCAGTAAAGTATTGTTTTAGTGTGTTACAGTGTAGCTTCTTTCTTACTTCTTACGACGACTGCTTCTTCCGACGTCGGCAGCAACATGAGCAGGAAGGATCCAGCCGATGAGGTTGCAAAGATCAGAGCCAATGCTGGTCTAACGCGATTAACACAACAAGAAAGAGCTGAAAGGCCTCATCCTTCTAGGGGAGGGAGTGAAGGCTATCCTGTCTTCTTTAGGGAACAGGAACTGGAAAGGAAAGCTGCTGGTCTTCCTACTTCTGTCAGTAAGGCGTCTCTTTCCAGATGGAGTAGACGCCTTGATCCATACAGAAAGACAGGCAATAGGAGCCAGGGCAAACTGGTGGGGAAGGACCTCTTTAACATGGTTGTGTTTGTTTGGATCTATCCAGATGCAACCAATGATGAGATTGCTACTCATATTTTCAATATGGGAGGACCAATCTACTCTAATCAGCTAATCAGCAGAAGGTTGAACAAGATGGAGCTTACAAGGAAGAGCGCGTCGAAGGAAGCCTATCAAGCCTTCAGCCCAGAGAGTATGTGGAGATCCAAGATCTTTTGGACCAAGCCCCCTCCCCTGGGGGTAGTAGGAGTTCCCAGGAGGAGATTCATTGACGTGGATGAGTTTGGTATGGATATGACCAAGACCAGCAAGGGGAAAAAAGGAATCGCGCTCAAGTGCTTTAGAGCAAGGATTCCWGGAGCCTATCAGAGGACCCAAAAGCTCACCATCATMCTWGCTGTGGARGCAGGGGATCCAAGACTCCCCCCAKCRACTAGRGGAAGYGTGGMGAATCCAAGGAGGTGGATCAATGTGATTCAGCAAGTGGGCACCTCTGCTACAGTCTTTGCCCRCTTTATTGATAGGATCTGCAAGGACATYGAGACCAATCCAGTSCCTGGYGAYACTGATGAGGARMGRATCTTCCTSTGGGACAATCTWGGCTCYCATCTGTCCACTTTGGTTGGCTTGAAGGTTGCTATCAGACCAGATCCTAAACCAACTCTGTTTCGATCTATTCCCAGGCCTCCCTACCAGCCAAAGTATGGGCCTGTTGAATTCAAGATCTGTGATCTTGTCTCAGCAGTATCTGGAGAGGCCAGGCCTAATTGGACAACCAGCGATCTTGAAGCAGCCATCTACAGGGAAGCTGGTAGGTCCATTAAAGGGGTTGATGCTACCTTTGATCACTGTGGATACAGTCTGGATGGAAACTATGATTAGGCAACAGCAACAACAGTGGCGCGTTGGTCTCCAGCACGTGAGCTGGATTCAGTGAGTAGGCGCAATGGACTGGAGGAATCCCCTGGGGACTGGCCTGCTGGTGAGTCGACTCCTTCTGGGCCTATCAAATTGAGTTGCACTGCCAATGCTTGGATTCCAGCAGTTCCTACTGGAGCAGCTTGCAGCTTCTTCCTCGGACGCTCAATCGGTTCGGATGAATCGACTAGATGGATTGAATTACAGTCGGTTGAATCAATTGCCTCCTATACTTAAGAGGAATTCTACAGCAGTACTATTTGTATACAGTTTATCTTTAGTAAGAATCATATCTACCAAGAGTAGTTGCAATAGACTTGAGCAATACGCCAGGGACTGGCTCGCTGGTCCATTGAGTTGGCCTGGGCCTACAGTTTTAGAATATACTGTAGCGCGTCTGGAATCATCAACCTTTATGGTGATTCATATCTACTAACTTTGCTAGAGGAGCTCCTGCTTCCACTCCCACTTCCATTACTACCAAAGCTGCTCATACTACCATCATCACTCCTCCTCATCTTCCTCTGAGCCTCATGTTCTTCCGCTCTTTTCTTCAAATACTTAGCTTGACTCTGCTCAAACAGCTGCTTTGCCCTTTTCTCCTGTGCTGCAACCCTAGCTGCTTCAAATGCTACTTACACGTACGTCCCTAACGTCAGGGATGTTAACACTTCGGAACGTTAAATTAACGTTCCGAACCCCTTAATTAACGGTGTTTCAATTGTTATTTTACGCGTAGTAAGTACAAGGTACACAAGTACGTACCGGTACTACCGGTACGTAAACAAGATTCGTAAATCCGAATTCGAATTGTACGGTACTCGTACTTACGTTGTCTCGTCCAATCCAGTCACCAACGACGAATGACTACGTACGTAGTATCGTACGAACGGTTGGAGAACCTAACGATCGGCAAGAAGACTGCTTCCGAAAAACTTGAATTCCCAGGCACCCCCATTTTCAATTTCAAGAAAGGCTCCGATTTTAGGACTATTCCAGTCACACCGTGTTTCCCAGCAATCAATTTCATCTCCGCTTGGAGTGTTCATTCGAGGGCCTCCTGAAATTGTGGCGTTCCTCGGGAAATCAAATCAAAACAATTGCTGTATCCCACACTTCCCACACCCTGAACCGAGCAGCATCAAAACCAATACAAGAAAGACACCACGCAGCATGAATTTTCACCGCTCTGTCTCGAGCTCCGCCGTCCGCTTCCTGAAACGCCGCCCGGGATTCCAGACCCGCAGCGGCAGAGCGTCCGCCGTTCCAACCCGCGGCTACCACGCCACCGAGCGACGCCCCGGCCAAGCCGCCGTTTCGGACCGCGGGGGAGCCATCGTCCCGGCCTTTGGCGGCGGCGAGGTCCACCTCCCGCCCGCCGACGATCCCGTGGGCCTGCAGCTCTACAAAAAGGCCCTCTACTGCCCGGAAACGCGGACGCTCCGGACCTCGATGCACGTCGGGACGACGGACGCCGGCGCCAAGGCGAACGGCGTCGTCGGCGACACGGTGGACGCCCAGATGGCCAGGGAACACGCCCGGAACTCCGGCCTCCGCCTGCTGTCGACGGTCCACGCGGCCCTGGGGGGCGACCTGGGCCGCGTCGAGCAGGTCCTGCACCTGCGGGGGATCGTCAAGTCCGCCCCGGGCTTTGAGGGGCACGCGGCGGTCGTCGACGGCTGCTCGGAGGTCCTGGCGGAGGTCTTTGGGCCCGAAACCGGCGTGGGGACCCGGGAGTGCCTCGGGGCCGGGAGCCTCGGGGCCACCGTGGCCTGTACGCTCGAGCTGCGGGTCGCACCGGAGCCGCAAGGCGGCAGCGACTAACTAGACACAAAACGGGTGGGTTTGGTTTGGTTTGGTTGGGTTGGGTTGCGGCTTGTGGTCGGCTAGGTTTTGCGACGTTTCGAACCACTGCGCTCGATGCGATTCATTGTGAAAACGCGATTCCTGGGCAATCCGCAATCGGCATAAACAAGGCTTTTGATATTGTATGGCATGCCATACATGATTTGTCTTGGATTAAACAGGATAACGACGCAGTTCCAGAAAAAGAAATGTGTGGAAGACGATTGTTAAAGTGTGGGATGGTGTAAATTCAACCAGCACCCAGAGTTAGTCGCAGTAAGTAAGTAGTATGTATAACTGTAATCTAATTTAGTGTTACAATCGCATTTCCAACATCGGAGTGGGAAAAATGAGGTGGTATCATATCCGAGTCGTTGGGGAGTACGGTAGATGGTGGATTGGCGAACAATGAACGAATTACCAACGAACGCAATTCGTTTCCTGTCCGAGTGTATTTATTCCTGGATTCCAGCCAAGGTCTATTATTACTGAGGGCAGGTTTTGTGTACATTCGTCCTCGTCGCCGTTGTTCGTCCCTCGTCGTCTCGTCAATTGTTTGTATATGTTCTTCTCGCAACTCGGAAGGAGGAGGTAGCAGTATTGTGCGGTGAGAATCCATTGGCGCGCGCCGTCTTTTGCATGTGAGTGAGTGTGTTGTGTTTTGCGTAAATCTAAGGTATGCTGTGCTGTGCTGTGCTGTGCTGTGCTGTGCTGTGCTGTGCTCTGCTCTGCTGTTGTATGCTCTACTACTGAGACGGCGTACCCACCGTCCCATGCCAAGCTTTGTTTGTGTGCGTGTCGTTTGGTTTTTCCGGTTCGTTGGGATTAGATCCACATGGACGGGTCGTACTTTTGCATCACGACGTCCCGATACGTCGGATCGTAGTCGCCCTCGTCGTCTCCGAAAAAGCCCGGTCCCTCTCCCTCCCCGGGGACTTCGTCGTTCGCGACAACCTTCTGGCGGTTCTCGGCAATGGCCTTGGCGTACTCGACGCAAAAATCCTTAAAGACCATGCAGTACTGGGTGGAAATCCCCCGGCTGTTGAGCTCTTGCTGGAGGTCCTCGACCTTCATGGTGTAGGATTCCTGCAGGGCCACCTGGTACTTCATCTCGACGGAAGGGTCGTTGTAGGTGGCCCGTGCCCGCTGCTGCTGTTGCTGCTGCTGCTGCCGGCTGTGGCGCGCACCTACCTCGTATTCTTCGTAGTGCTGCTGCTGGTGCGGTTGGTCGCGGTGGAACTGGTTGCGTTCCGCCTCGTGTTTGAAGAGGGGGTCCTCCTCGAACCATTCGTTCCCGGGACGCCTCCGGCCCCGACCGTTGTTCTGTGGTCGCTGGTTCGGATACGTGTGGAATCCCCCCATCGGATCGGGGGCGGCCTGGTACTGGCGGCGGCGGTTGGGCCGAGCCTGCTGCTGCCGGCGCTGCTGCTGTTGCGGTTGCTGCGGTTGGTGGTACTGGGGTCCCGTGTTGACGTCGCTGGTGTAGATTCGCTCGTCCTTGTGCCGGCCGCGCTGGTAGTTCACGGTCTTCCGTCTCGTGGTCTGGACCTTCTTCTTCTTGGGCCGGTTGCTGGACATGACGTCGTTGATGGTGGACTCGTAGTGGCGGCGGGCCTCGATCAGTGCCTCCTCGAACTCGCGCTTGTCGAAAAGCGTGGTGGTGTTGATTCCGTAGGACTCGAGCTCCTGTCGTATTTCCCTCGCCTTCATGTTGGTGACGTCGGGCATGGTGTAATAGAGGCGTGTGCGAGTGCTCGCGGACGGCGCTTGCCCGGCGGACGGAACAAAAGCATCGCACGGCAAGGGAGCTGCCACTAGCAAAGAACTCGCGGCAAAAATTGCGGACCACGTGCTTATCCTGAAATGCATTTTTGTGGGTTGTGTTCGGTGACGATGGGTAGATGTAGCGGAGTAATGGGTAGGTTCGATGGGGGCGGTGTTTGTTGACGTACAGGCAGCACGGTGTTGAAGGCGATGGGAAAAAAGAAGTATTCGGTGATAGTTTTTGGTTTTTGTCTGGTGTCCAGATGGAATTTTTGAGTTGTGAGATTGATGCCGGATGCAATTAAATACTGGTATGACGTAATTTCGAGTTGGAATAAATAAAAGGGCGCACTTTTTGGCTTCCAGGGGCGCCATCTTGGCGATCCATCGAAAGAGTGTCTTGAAGCGGCACCGAAATCTTCTCGCAATTGATTGGTCGACACAAAAAGTGAACAAACCGTCACATTTTGGTGCGCGTGCACGACGGTATTTAACGGCATATAATGTACGTCACCGATTACCTTGATAAAACTCGCTGCATAGTGCCGTACGGATCGCCAGAGTGCGCGATCGGAAAATGATGCGCGATCTTGATCCCGAGTGAAACATTCAATGGCGATCTTCATGGCGATCAAGACCAAAGAACTACGACTGAAATTCAAGTGCGTCAGAGGTTCCGTCCGGGACGTGCTTTCCACAAGGAACCTGATGGAGTTTTTCGAAGGAAAAAAGTAGAATTCTTTTTGCTTCGATTGTCTGAGACGGCGAGTGATTCTTTGTCCCGTCTCGAGAAGGTTCCCGGCACGGGATCTCTCTCTGACGCCGAAAATAACGGATGACAGAATCCGCGAAACAAAAAAAGCTTCCGATGCGGATCGATCGATCGATCGATTCTTCTCCCACGATATGAACCATCAGCTGGCTACAGCACTCTCCGACGTCTTTTTTTCAAAAATTCGCGATCGCACGAATGGAAGCGGGCAGGCTAGATGCTACTACGGTCGAAGCGAACGCGGTGTCTCGAGAGCATGAATGGCGACTGTGTAGGAAGCCAAACCGGAATCGTTCCACGATTGGAATTTGGTGGTTTTGGTTTCTTCGTTCCACGGCGCAGGATTCTTTGATTCTTTGTGGGGGGCTGCGGTGAGGAACAAACGATACCATAGGTCGGTGGTTGCATTTGCTTTCTCGCAACGATCCCACCACTTAGGAAACAAGCAAAACGAGCCAACGATAGTCTTTTGTAGCTCGCAAGAATGGCGAGCAACCCACCAAACAAATCACCCAAGCCCGGGGATCCCGGCGCCGGAGAATCCGGGGAAAAACCAACGACAGCAACCCGGGAGAGCCCGGGGGGCAACGGGAGCAGCATCAACGGCAGGGCCGCCCGGCAAAGGGTCCGGCGATCCTTCGCCTCTCGCGATTGCTTTTTCGTGGACCGACACCACGAAATGCTCGTTCTGTACGGACCGGCCTACAAGGAATTCGTCCTTCCTCCCGCTCCCCCTTTGCAAGAAGCAAGGTCCCCGCGGGGATCGTCCGCCGACACAAAGAACGCCCACAGACCGACGCGCCGGGGGTTTGCACCGTCCGAGATCGTCCTGCGCAAAAAATGATCGAGAGCTCGGGAAATGGCGAACGATGCCTCGTGTGTTTGTAATAAACAGACTATGAGATTGTATGGCGGGAATGAGAATCCCCCACCGTCTATTGAAGTGAAGAAGCGAGCTGGTTCTAGGCTGAATGGTGCTTCTTCAGAAACGAACATAGATTGTGTTGGTATAAAAAATTAAGTGTGTAAAAAACAGTATCGACGATCGACCCGGCGATAAGAACCATCCCGTCCCGCTACCCGGTGGCCACCGAAGGCGTCGCGAATCGGTTCTTTTTCTGTAGCCCGTTCTTCAGCCCGGGTCCCCGCCGCCGCCCCCGTCGTCGTCGATGGGCACGAGCCGCGTCACCCCATCGATGGCGCAGGGGGACCAGCCGCCCTTGTCGTGCTCGATCCACAGGACCTCTCCGTGCTTCCGCAGCACCGAGGAGGGATCTCCGGCGTTGTAGATGATCGACGCCGCGAGCACCTCGGGCCGGACCGGATCGCTGGGGGCCACCCTCCGCTCCCCGACCGCCGTGATGACCTCGCCGTGCTCCAGGTAGTCCAGGACGTTGGACTCGTCCGTCGCCTCGACCTCGTTCTCGGGGACCATCAGGTAGATCTTGAGCGGGTCGTTCTCGGCACGGTTTTCGCCCGTGGTTTCGTCGATGCTGCTGTTGTTGCCACTGCTGCTGCTGCTGCCGCCGCAGTCGGCGCGGTCGCTGGAACCGTTCCGGAACCAAGAGACCACCCGGTACCGCTTCGGAAACGGGCCACCACCGCCGCGGGCGATCTTGTCCCTCCCGGGAGACGACGGCCCTCCTTCCTCCAGCAGGGCGATGCCCAGTTCTTCCCTCCGCTTCCGGAGGGCCTCGTGGACCTCTCTGTATTCCTTTCGCTTCTCAGAGATCCGCCCGTGCCGCCTCATCCAGTCCGGCCGAAAGAGGCCCAGGGCCGGATCCGCCCGGCAAGGTGAAGGATAAGGTGTGCTCCGGGGGAGAGGGGGCGTCCGCCGCCTCCCGGCGTCCGGGAGGCCGTTCCCGCAAAAGGCGGCGGCGGTCGCACCGGACAGGGCGAGGGCGGCCACGAGGGACACCAGGAGCCGCAAAAGGAACCCCCAACGCGCCTTCCGGTCCCCGGTTGGTTTGCCGTAGCCGTTCCGTGCATCGGATCCCATTTTCAAACCATCGAGAGTGCTGCGTCGAAACTGAAACTGAATCTGAAACTGAAACTGAAACTGAATCTGAATCTGTTGCTGCTGTTGCCGGGCCTCGTTCTCTTCCAGACTGCCATGGATCTGCTGCAGCATTTGTTGGCGAGAATCGGTGCGGTGACTCACCGAATCGAAATCCACCTCTGTATCGGAAAAGGCCGTACGATACCGGGACGCCCGATTCCGTTTGTGTCCGACGAGCCATCTGCTTTCGTTTTCCGCAACGCTCACGAAAAAGAATTTCGATGAAAATGATCCCGTTTGCACGCGATCTACGGGTGCCACGCTCATGCCGCGGTGCGGTGCACTACGGGTACCGTACGCTACGGTACGATACTTGCCGAGATTTTTTTTCTTGGCTTGCTCCATGATAAGTACGGGTAGTACGTATCGGCGGTTACAGTAGTGTATGGTAGTACGGTACGACTTGTACATTACAGTATCCCTGTACAAATAATAATGTACTGTACGGCACGGTACGGTACGTATTTTCTATCAAACATTTCTGTCGAAGATTCGACCGTTGCGTTGACATCCGGTAGGTTGATACAATAGAAAATACGGATTCCGGATCCCGTGTTCTCCACGACTGATAAGAATGGGAAATTGACGAAAATCTTTCGATCGGATTTTCCTCAACCCTAAACAAGGCAAGGGGGATAGAACATCCGAGTTCCGAGTGCTGTAGAAAGTAGTACAGTACATACAGTACTTACGTACGAACTGGGTATTTTAGGGTCCAAAACGGATCGCAAGTCCCGATCATTACATTCATGAAAGAATACGTAGTAGAAGTACTTCTACAAAATATCTCTTTTCAAAAGTGCTAGGTTTGAACCCTGGCTCGACCATTACCAAGACAAACACCAAGCAACAACCCACGATGACGAGACTATCCCCTCGCTGCGGCGTGCTGGTTCTCTTCGGATGCATCGCTGCCTGCTCCTCGTTCGGAGTCGACAGAAGGCCACTGCCGATGATTCCAGCTCCGGAGACGGCCGGGGACTCCCCGCCCCCGATCCGCCTTCCGGAGGCGGCGGTTGGGGCCCTGCGCGCCGCGGCCCTTTCCGTTTCCGTGGTGGTGGCCACACTGGCGCTGCCCCCTTCCGAGGAGGCGCACGCCGCCGTCCCCACGCTCGACGAGGCGATCGTCGAGCTCAGCGAGGCCTCCTATCCGATCCTGAGGTCCCTCGACGCGGCCAATTTCCAGGCCTTTAGCACGAGGATTGGGGACCTTTTGCTCGAGATCAACCCCGACCGGGTGGGAAGGGCCATCGACCTCGGCATCGACGTCCTGGACTCGGCACCGGCCGAGAAGGTCGCGGAGTTTGGGGCCTCGCTCACCGCGGTCTACGGCGACCTCAGCACCGACACGTGCAGGCTCGTCCCGCTGCCGCCCTCGGCGGTTGCGGGCCGGTTCGCTGCCCTCGCTGCCGACAAGGTGGACGCGGGCAAGCTCGAGGCCTTTAAGGAGAAGTGGAAGCCCCCGGTGGCGGCCCTCAAGATCACCGCCGACGACCGGATCTGCCTGCCGCCCACCCGGGCGGCCCTCGACAAGCTGGCGCTGGCGCAGGCCGACCTGGGCCGGAGCTTCGGCCGGGCCGAGGCAAGGGCCTTTGTCTCGCACACGGGCCCGATGCTGCAGACGGGGATTCCCCAGAAAAAGGCCCTGTCGCTCGTAGAAGACGCCAAAACACTGGCGCCGACGGCGACGCCCCAGGCCAAGAAGGACTTTGCGGCGGCGGGGAAAAAGGCCGAAACCGCGTCCAAGCTCGAGATCGCCAGGAACAAGGTCGCGGAACAGAAGGCGAAGCAGGCGGCAAGCAGGGCGGCACTTGCCAGCGGGTCGTAACCCGATTCCTTGGTCCGACGGATTCCCGGGACCCCGCCGGCGGAACCGATCGATGCGGCGAAACAAGAGATTCGAACTCGCACTCGGCAAGGGGTTTGGTGTTTGGTTCCAGCTTTCGATGCTAGTGTTACAATCTTGTGCCATGTACAAATCGCGCACTGGTTTGTCGAGCAGAATCTCCTCGCAATAGCTGGGGCTGCTACAGCCAATAGTCCGATACCGGTACAAGTGGTGAGAGCGTCTATAAGCAGGGTGGAATCGTGAGAGTCTGAATCCCCATCGCTTTCAGTGCCTTTTGCCGAATTGGTCGAAACTAGTGTAATAGCGTTGATATTGCATCACAAGAAACGTACATCCTTCCGCTTAGACACTGCACTGCACTATATTGTATCTATCGTCGACACTTGCGGCATCCCGATTGCATTTTGTGTAATATCAAAGACTTCCAGTTTGTAGGACAGGTCCGAGAAGGGATCGCTGCCAATGTTGGCGGCAAAGAAATTGCAGGTGCCAAAGATGGCGTCGTATGCGATGCCTGCTGCACATTGGTCGTTGTTGGCATTGGCCAGGGCAATAGCCGTCTTGGGTCACCAGTGCGGGCACGAATCGGTTTCGGAGAATTTCCCCACCCGAGAGAACTCGGGGTGGCCCTCCGCGTCGACACCATCGTCGTTGATTCGGATCCGCATGCCCCTACCGGTGCAGCATAGTTCGTTCGAAGTTCGAAACAGGAACGACAGTTATCATGTCAATGGCCCACCGGTTGGCAAGCTACAAAGGATCGGATGTCGTCGTCGACGACAGTTCTGGCCCGTTGCAGATGGGGGTTGAGATTGAAGACTGGCGACTCTATTGCCAATGGTTTTGTTGTTACATTGGCCCAAAGGAAGTTGAGGTTGGGATTGACGGTCAGCCACATGAATGCCATACAAAGACACTCTTGACAAAAGTGGAGGCTTTCCATCCATTGCAGAAAAGATTTTAATTGCTGGAGCATTTGTTTGATTGATGAGGTCTGCCAGCCCAGAGGTGGTGTTATCTAAGCAAGTGGTATTTTGCTCTAATTGCTTCAACATAACTATCAATATCTTCCCTAGAAGGCATTGTGACCATGGCACTTGGTTCATTTGGAGTACATACAGCAGGACCTTCCTACTATTAGAGAACTTCAACCACTCTAACATAAAAGTTTGGGTTAGTCCAAATGCCAATGAAGCTCCCCACACAACAGAGCCTCCTGTCCTTAAAAAATGTCTTTATTATGTTTAACCCTGTGAACTAGAAGAGGCACTATATGGCCACCAGAACCATTGCTGCTCCTGACTAGGGAGTATCATTAGCTGCTCCGGGGGGCAGTGCCTCCTTCCAATGAGGGGTTGTGGAGGAGCAACTATGTTCAATACATACTGACAAGCCATTGAAGGCAGGAGGTCTCTGGACTTATGATACAGAGAATATGATACAGAGAAGGAGTTGGTTCACAGTGTAGATGGATGAGAGCCATGTCATGATCATTTCAAAGTGCCCTGTCAAACCAGAAGGCAGGTCTCTCCGCAGTGATAAGAGGAAGCACACTGTCAAGCCAATTAAGAAGCCAAGATCTCCCACCGTGTACAGAGACACAGCTGGCAAAGTAGTTATTTAAAAAATAAAAGTAAGTAAATGCCAAAAGAAAAAGAACACTTAACAAACTGACTCAGTCTTGGGCCCAAACATATAGGTAATGGTTGCACGCCGGAGTATATTTCATGGAGGAAGAAGTGCCAATAGTGGCAGTATACATTGTTGTAGGAGCAACTATTGGTGAAGCCCCTTCTTCTTGGAGGAGAGGGGAACTGGGGATCTAGAATGCGGTTTGGGTGGGTGCTGTTGCCATCAAACACAACAAATGCTGGAAACATAAATATCTTGACTAGAAGCCTTCTCTCCTTGTTGTCCTCTTCTTCATCATCATCCACCATCATGACGTACCAGGCCAAGATCACTGTCTCAAGTATCAGAGAAAAGTGTTGGTGTTATGCTGGCACCAACTTCGTGCAAATGACTGTACTGTAGTATGAAAAGAAAAGTAGTAATTAAACAAATACTTTTATCATATTACCAGTCCATTGAAAATGAAATGCATAAACAATAAAAAGCCTACCACACCCTACAGGGCAAAAAGGCATTCTTCTCAAACACCAAAAATTATTACTAGTAGTACTAGTAAAACCTTGGTTAATTTTTAATCCAACCAGTGTTTAGTACTGTATCCTCCTCCTACTACTAGTAGTACGTAGATCTAGTACTAGTTTTTGGTCACTTTTTTACTGCATTAGAAGAACTGCTCTGGTACAGCCTGAAAGCTGCTGTTTTTTTGCGGAAAAGCTTCCTAAAAATGTTGGGAATAGTGCCCTAGCAGGCCATGGGGGGGTCAATTCTCCATCAACAGCACCCTGCAAGTATGGCCAACAAAGGCCAGTTGAGACCAGCTCCTGGTTAGAAAATAGATCAGAACTCTATCAAAAAATAACTCTAGACCACCAGACTAAGTGCCCAGTCCAACTTTATATAATTAATTAAAAGATACATGTCATTGGGAAGCCAAATCATGCTCTAGCAGCTTAGTAGAACTACTAGTCAGCCCAAGTTACAGTGGTGAGAGGCCAAAAATTGTTAATTCTAGGAGTAGCTTTTTATCGAATTAACTCCAACAATGAATACATACGGTAAGGTACTACTACAAGAACTGTGAGGATATAGCTGGATCACAAGTAGCTTGTGAATAACCTCACTCATTATTGTAAACACGTAGTAGTTATATGGCACTAAAGAGCAAACGTACATTTCACAGGTTATGAGCAACAAATGGCTTACTTTGCTTCATACCTCCATCATCAACGACAAAGCCATCTATATGAGTAGTATGGTTTACTTCTCTTCCTGCTGCCACGGAGCTCATGACCCACAACTAGTCTCATCAATCTTTGGAGCAGCGCAAGCAAGTTTTCGGATATTTTCGTAGAAAAATATCTTCGGCAACAGTACTAAACCACGTAGGATTCTACGGTATCTTTGTTGTCGCCAATTCAGAACACTTTTGACACCAGAAGCATCTGCTGCATCTACTGTCGCTCGGAACATCCAACAGCCAACCAGTCTTTTTGCGGTTTTGACTTTCGAGTAATGACCAAAAGACGATAGGGGAATGCAGAAGCAATGATGTCAATAGTAGCAGTGGTCTCGACTAGCGACTCTGTGGACGAATACGACGAATACAATGACGATCACCATCACTCTCTCTTGCTGTATTGTCTCGCCACCATTCCGATTCTCGCGTTAATGATCGTCCTTCCCAACACGTGCTATTTGGCGCTGCAGCCACGCCCTGATCGGCAGAAAAAAATCGACTGATAAAACTATGAAGATCGAGAAATCCTTTTTCAAAGCTTCATAAACGGTTTCGGCCTGCCTGAAATCGTCTTAGATTATAGCATCTGCAGCTGGCAAAGTGCCTCATCGGAATTAAAAATATGTATGCTGTAATGAAACCCAAACCGAACTTGAGGATATAACTAAAATGCAGTAGCTTTCATTAGAATAATTTGAGTCGGCACGTTCACTGCCTTGTGTCTGATTGACGAAGATATTGCAATCTGTGCACAACACTGAAAAATCACTATAGAAACGGAGAACAAAAACCCTGATACAGTCAAATAGAGTTAAAAAGAGTTTTTAAAATAAAAAAAGTTTTACAGATATGCTTAACAAATATTGCGTATAAGATATGAATCCCTCTCCATACGGTTGGTAGTTATGGTGTGTCCAGCCTTACAAGAACAAGGCAGCAACTCCGGCAGCGGCGAAGGCTGCAGTGGTGGCAAGACCACTGGCTCCAGATACCTCAGTTTCCGTTTCTTCCGACACATCTCCCATTTCACTAACGGGTTCCTCATCAACAGACACTGAGGGCGCAGCAGGTTGGCCATTTACAATACAGGAGTTGCTATCCCATAGCTTGTTGTAGGCCGAGACGTCGTCTTCATCTGCCGCTTCATCAAAGTGGAAGTAAATATCAACAGTGTTCTCGAAAATTCCCTTGGCATCACGGACGGTCTTCGCGACTGGGTCCGTGGAAAAGTGATAGTCGTAACAGTGTGACAGACCTGCCATGGGGTTGATGTTGTCCCAGGTGGTGTAGGCCTCGTATTCGCCTTCACAATCGTTACAGTCTTCGTCAGAGCACTTGAGCCAGTTCTCGTAGATGGCATCATGCTCGCAAGAGACAACGTCGACCATAGAGTAGGCAACAGTTTTGGAACCATCCTCGGCCATGATATTGTCGGCAAGACAGAATTTTCCGAATTCCATCTTCTTGATGCTCAATACTTCTCCTTCGTAGAGAACGTCTCCTTCGCACGAGCCACTGTACTGTGTGAAAGCGATGGGCGTCTCGAAAGTAAGGGTTTCTTCGCCGGCGAAGACAGATCCAGCCATGGTGGCAAGAGCAAGAGCAGTGGTGGAAAACTTCATTTTGGTACTTGGTAGGCTGTTATTACAATGTGCACCTCGGGGAACAGAATTCGTTTTTATGGGAGAAGGATGTCCCTCGCCAGCGACATGACCCTGGGCAAAAAATTCGATTCCTTCGCTAGAAACGCTAGAGGTACCACATTACTTCCACATGAAAAATATCCGTTACCATGTGGCTCACTTTTTTTTTATGTCCGAAAATTAAACCTAGGTGCGTTGAACGTTGGATCGTGACATCGGTGCGCGACTTCGTGACAGATCTATTAAGCACGAAGTATCAGTAGCTGCTTATTCGACGCAGATTCTGTGACAGCGGTAGACAGCCGTTATATTCATATGCCTAATCTTGTGGTTCATACCCAAAAAATTCAGCTGTCGGTTGAGTAGTGACAGTAAAAATAAAAGAATTGATGATGAGCCAATGATATGAGCAGCGCGCACCTGCATGCTTGTCCGTATGGTAGGATATTTTGTTTCGTATGACCGTTAAAAAAGGTGCCAGATTACCGTACGAATGTACATTTTGGGCCCTTATTCTTTCGATATTTTGTTTTGAAGAGACCATAGGATTGGTCAGTCTCTTGGCTCACAGCAGTGCTATTTGTTATACACTGATAGAGAGTGAACCCATGTACTCTGAGGCAGACAAGCCTGTCAACATTCAATCTTCCTGGTCCAGAATCAATCTTTATCATACACCGTCTTCCATTTTTGTCAGCTGCATTGGGATAGAGAGGTATGATACTAGTATTGAAGATTTATTTTTCAATTCTTTGTCATCCATGTCTGCTTTTAGATTGATACCAGCTGTTACTAGAACTGAATGGCACTCATCATCATACCCAAAACTATCATTGATGTTTTTGTAATGTAAGATTGTTTCTAACTTCAGTTTTTTCTTTCGTCACATTTTGCCCTTGTTGTTCCAAATTGCAGGTGAGGAGGAAGGGCCTCACCATATGCAGTAGAACATGATATGAAAGTGATGGAGACACTTGATTTGGAAACTCTTCTTGCAATTGAAGATATATTTGGATCTACCAAACTTGAGGATGGCCTTCCACCTCTTCTGCTATTTCCTCCATCTGGAGATAAGCATGATTTATCAAGATTGTTAATTTGTTTCAACTGCTTTTCAGAAATCTCAATTTGATTGGTGCCACCTGCTGTTGCAAAAGCAAGCTCAATCAAGTCCTTCTTCCAAATTTCAAACCAGAACTTCAAATTTGTGCATGTTGTCCACCAATGAGCGCAACAATCTTCCACTGGGTTCAAAACTTTTGCCTTCAAATTAACTGAATAATATAATGTTTCACCTCTGGTTGCAGCACATGACAACATTCCAATTGTTAGGTTCAATTGTTGAATGAGACACAAATGATCACCAGCATAGGCATCTCCATTGACCTGATTAAACTGGACAAATGTTTCAAATGCACTGATGACCAAATCCATTGCTTAAGGAGGAATATTTCCAGGCCTCTTCATGCACATATCCAAGCACGGTTTGATGGTTCAGTTCAGTTCCATACTCAGCATTGACAGCTTTCACAATTTTTGCAGCACTTTGTCCCTTGCCCTCAAGATCCTTCAAAGATTCTTGGTACTAAAGCATGGTTGCCTTAATGTGAGCTCTAGTAGCAACACTATCGTGCTTGATTTTTTGTCTGCAAGGTTGATGTGTGCATTTTTTAGATTGTCTTTGGCACTAACTTCTTCTTCCTTTGTGTCACAGCCAGGAGTGGTGCCAGGGGCTGAGCATTTTGAAACAGATGGAGTGGAAGGAGCAGCTTTGTTTTCAGCAGCCTTTTCAGATGCTTCTTCTCTCATTTTGGTTACAACTCTTCAAATCTGCATTTGCATTGAGGCTATATGAGCTTCAAACTTTTCAAAATCAACAGCCTTCATTGCTTGCACGACAGTAATAACACATGGATTCACAATGAGATCTGCAGAAATTCTACCTTGTGTTTGAGTTCCTTGTCAGGGGAAGACAGGGGACCATGGTAGTGGTACTAGTAGCACATGTAGCAATCTTTTTTGCACCAAAAGCACCAGTTGTTGCTTGCTGGCAGTATTGTGTTTAGTACCACTCATTTTGCTGTGAGCCATGATTTTGCTTAAACTAAACAATAGAGGTATGTCAAATGGGAAACAACAAATAAGTACACAGTAGATTCATTTAAAACGCTTCAGTAGTAGAGGAATAACTACTGGAACCTCTAAGACAAGAGCCTTGGAGTTGAGCAACAGTGCAGCTGAAATGAAACAAAACAAACAGCAGTGAAGCTCAAATCGTACCAACGAACGATTTGTCTGTATGTAGAATTAGTACCATGGTACTAATTCTACATACATATGTACGTAAGTAGACTTAGTAACATAGTACTAATTCTAAATAAGTACATACGAAGTACATTGGAACAAACCACATACCAAGGGGGGGGGGGGGATATTTTTGAGTTTTCGTTGAATCGAATGTTGCTTTGAAGTTGATCAAAACAGTATTCTATGAGGCCATTAGAAGTGCTCAAGAAACCGCTCAAATGAGATCCCCTTTGGGGAATATGCTTGACCATACTGTTAAGAAGAGTGCTGTGTGTCATTGTTCCACAATTAGGGGACAGGAGGGAGCCAGTTCTCCATTAACACCCAGTATGGCCAAAATCGGCTGGTTTACAAGACTGTCTGCTAGTTAGAAAATAGGCCAGATCTTTATTAAAAAAAAGAACTTTAGACACCCAGACTACTAAGCACCCAGTCCAAGTTGATACAATTACTTCTTAGAGATTCATGTCATTGGGATGCTTAAGGATGCTCTGGTTGCTTAGAACTTACAGTAGTGGTTGGCCCAAAATTATGCTTTAATTATAGGTGTAATTTTATTTCCAATTAACTGGTATGGAAGATTCCTAGTACTAGTAGGATTTTTCCAAGGCCTGCCCAAGAATTTGATGAAGATGGAATGGTGAATATAGTTGCATCCTCCCCTTCGAGGAAGAGGCATGGTCACTGCTTTGTTGCAGAAGGTGTCCTTGCCTGTTGCAGAAGGCCTCAGTTTGACAAATGGCAATATGTTATCATCACTGCAATTGTATCAGCCTGAATTTACCTCTTGCCATCATGCTTTTCCCTCCATTCAAGAAGAAGAAGAGAAAACTGTTCAATACAATGCCCTCTTCTTCCATGAGGGAATCATGTGAAGCACTGCTTTGAATGTACTTGTCAAAGGCAAAAAATCTACCAAATCTACCTATTCTGATGCAGATGAATAATTACAATAATCTTTGAGGAGAATTGGATGCATGAACTACTAGGTCAGGAAACAGATTCTGCTCCAACATTAAACCCACCACTGTGCTGCTGGATATATTGTTTCATTTATGGCTGGACAGATGATGTATTTGAAAGCAGTGTGGGAAGAACCAGAAAAATGGAATGTTGTAAAATGAAGAGTTTTTTATTCCTGAATGAAGAACTCCAAAAGAAATTTGCAGCATGGATTTGGGACTTGTAAATGGAAACAAATGCAAGCAACTTTGCATTATGGATAAGATTCCCAGGGTCTTTCTTCCATTGAAGAATGTAGTAACCTTTTTTTGTCAAAGAATGCAGTCTGCCCTCTTGATGTTTTTCTGTCAAAGCAAAATTCAATTTCTGGTCTGGGGATGGTTGAACATCCTTTTGTTTTACCATGAAGGTTGAGACATGAGGCACCATACCAATCTATAGAAGTTAGTTTTTATTCTTCACACTATTATTCAAGGATACTGTGGGAATAGTAGTGGTGCTTTGTTGTGTGTTGCAATCAGAAAGAAAAGATAAAAAAGGAACCACATGTGATGGCACAACTTGATTGCCAGGGACTTGGTTTGGAATATTCTTCCATCTCCACAACAAAGATCACCATCAGACAGTACCCGAAAGCCATCACCAAGACTAAAGAGTGGTACAACAGCTCAAAAGGTTTTGTTGTATGATGATTTATCAATTTTGGTGGTATAAGACTCTATTATTTCACCAAGTAAAAGAAAGTTTTCCTTCCGCCTCACTAACTCCAGTGTTATCCCCTGTTTTTTAAAGAGTTCTATATACCTGCTGTCGTGAACCATCAAAAGACACCCAAACAAAAATTGCATCTCACCTGAGATCACATAAGAGGCCCAGGGCAGGTACTACTTCATGGATGCTTTAAGCACTTCTTGAGATGACAAAGAAATTCAAAAAGGAGTCCTTGAGTTTTTTTAATGAGAGCTGATCATGAGGGGAACTTGTTGGAAAAAAGGATCTATGCACCCCCGCTCATGGCTAGTAGGCACAACTAGAAGTGGAGAAAGCTGTCAAAAGAACTTGCGGTGTGGAGTAAAGAGTGTGATAGATTTTATCCAGAATATATAAAGATCTGCAAAAGATACAAAGCTTACACAACAAGTGCTGAAGTAGGTCAAGAACTTGGTTACTAGTAATATGAAACTTCCAGGAAACTCAGTGGAGCTGATGAGCTGAGATCTCTGCTAAAAAATTTAGAGAGAGGAAAGAATAATAATTTTAAAAACCCTTTGTGTCTGTTCATGAAAGCTATTGAGGCCTTCTCTGGCAATTTCAATTAGAACAATGTCCAGTACAAATTGACAAATTCTCAATAAATCAAGACACTGCAAAATAATGGGGAAACAATAGTACAACATAGTAATCAATGGAAGCAATTATCCTGTTGTGCTTGAGATTATGATTTGATGGCAAGTACCTGCAAATCTTTTCTTGCAGATTTTGACTGCTTTGAAAAGTCAGGACAAGTAGGCTTGGAGTTCAAGGGTTGAGGGGGGACTAGTATACTGTTTTGATAATTTTGATCTATCTAATAATAGTGCAAGCCAATTTGATTGCTTGATTCCTACCGTATTTTAATGTTATCCCTAACTCTAAGAAAACACCAAATATGGAATTAAATCCTTTTTTGTGCAATTTGATCAGCTATGAGAGAGCCAATCTGGAATACAATTGAGGAGGGCTGTGGTGTGCTAGCAACACCCTAATGAATTTTCTCCCCCTGAAACTCTTCAGTTCAAAAAATTCAACAGTTGACTTCTGCCCTAAAGTTACCATATCAAACAAAACAATACTACCATATTGAAGGCCACAGTATTCACCATTTGGAAATTTCTAAATATTGCTGTACTACTAGGGGTTAGAAAACATTTTAGATGACTGACAGGGGTCTTGCAAGGCAATTTCCACCACTTAATTGTATACTGGCAAATAGTAGTATGAATTCTTATCAACATCATAATTGTAACATAAATGTCTTCTTGCCTAGGATCTGGGCAAAAATATTTCATACTACTTGCAGCACTTCAGGAAGTTGATGTATTGCTGCCATTTCTTTGCAATTTTCTACATACATAGCTGACTAGAACAGAACTTGAAGTATTCCGAAGAACCAAATGAAAATATTCCATACATTCCAAAATCCACGTTTCAATGATCACACGTCTGTTCTGAACCAGTAACTGGTTGTCTATTAAAAACGTGTTTGTTTTTATCAATTCCCCGTTGATATTAATACGTTTAGCTAATTCTGATGTGTAAGTATATTGGAACATGCAATAATATTCTCATCACATCAGTCATCGAAGCTCTTCCAACTTGAAATCTATGTCTCCCACAATAGATGTTTTCGAGTAATCTGCCATGTACTTCAATATCCCCTTGATATCTTTTGTAGTGCCAGCAACAAAAAAGGTAACACCGCAGGTCTTCTTTCTATTGCTGGACAACGATGGCGAAGAAGAGATGTGATATCCAATTTTATGGGTAGCAGACTTCGAGCTGTCACCGAGCTCGGTTTCACAAGCGTTGAGGAATCGTCCGAGAGTGTCGGGGGKGGGGTTTTCGATCGAGAGACATGCGGGTAAAAGAGATGGATCAGAATGAAACTCGCTGCTTTGGGTGTGGTTTTTGGAAGAACTATTGATGGGGTCAAACAAATGCTGAAGTACCGCAAATGATGTTCCTGTAATGGTTCGTGTCTCTTGTTTCAAAGAAAAGTGGCGTAGATTCGTAGTTCCAGTCAGAGCTGATTGTGGTGTCAACGGGGGAGATGCCATGTGAGAACTAGTCCCTTCGTTGGTTCTTTCGTCCACCGACTCGTGGTCTATGTTTGTCTCGGTGTCTCCACTGCTTTTGGTGGTCGAAGTTCTAGCTACCGAATCTTTGACAATTTGGAAATCGTCACCGAGTTGCAGGTTTAGGCGTTGAATCGACTGCGGAAGACTTGTAGAAGCAATCGTTTCGTCACAGCTCGACATCGGTAGAAAGCGTTGCTCATCTATAGTTGAGAGTGTGTACGATGCCGAAGTCATTCTCCAGAGCATGTTGAGATCCGGCTCTTTCAGCGCTCCGCGCTGTGTCTTGTATATAATTCGAAAGGATTCCTCAACCGCTGTGTATCCACCGGCCGATCGCTTTTGCAATGGACTTTTGCCTCCCTTTCGTTCGGCTATTTTGGAAGTAGCCGAAAGAAGGTCGAAGATAGTATACAGCGTATTGACCTTGCTCTTTTCACTATATACAGAGAATTCGGAATACAAATCATCACACTTGGACAATCGTTTTTGTCGCAATTCCGAATCACTTCCTTCATTCGGCAGTTTCGATGAAAGCATGAGGACCTTGGCTGAGTCGAGGTGCAGCAAAACTCCTTTCTGAAGCAAATGCATCCATTGCCACGACTGGATCGTTCCGGCAAGTTTGAATCGGTAGATTGGAGAATCGTTCAATTTGAAGAACCGAAGAGAACTCGCTGGATCCAAGACATCGTGATAGTTGATGATTGATCCGAGACAGAGAGGGACACTGATTTCATCGCATGCCTTCAGCAATTCAACGAATCGACGATTGTTATTTTCGATCCACGTTGTTCCTTCTGTTAGGAGCTCTATGACATGCCGAGCCGTCCGGGGAGACCAATTGTCCTTTTTAATGACACGATTGTCTCGCTCGTACGCTTCGTCGTTCGTCCCATCGATAACGAGGCTACATGCTCCACTACGGCTGCCAAGTGACAAGCGGAAGTGACGACAACGAGACTTGATGAGAATCCCCTGCGAACTGGGCACATAAATACGCTCGCCATTCTCGCACTCCACAACAAATTCATGCGTGGTTGAAGTTGAGAGCTCGGCTAAATCAATTTTCTCTTCTACCACCGCGGGCATTGCATTGAATGTAACATCGCTCATCACAGATTGAGCGCAGGATATATCGAATTTCTTCTTCTTGCTGCTGCCACTCTCCTTGTGCTTCTTTTCGACCGAACCCAGTTGCTGTGTCCTGTCAGCGGTAATCGATACAATAGAAACCCCACCATCATATTCACCATCTGCAAGAGACGCCGATGCAGATGCTTTACGAGATGATCGGAAGCCGAGCAAACTACTCATCGGGTTCAGACGCTACGGGATCCTCTCTGTTGATCAAAATACTTTTGAGATAGTATTGAACAAGTATTGCGGGTGCAAAGATTGCTCAACTGTTCAGCTTCTTTAGTATTTAATTCCGCTTCACGACAAGAACTTGATATGTTTTGAGCGTCGTTCGAGTCGATCTGGGGCTGTTTAGTGCAGCAGAAGGGTTTCGAGTCTGTTGCTATCTTCTATTGCTTGTCTTGTATCGCCTTCGATCGTCTGAACTTGGCGTAGTTTGATCGCTCTCCCGATCCAGTCGACTAATGTAAAATGTGGCAAGACTGTGAGGCACAACAATTAACTCGCGTTTGGTCGACGAAGGAGCGTCTGCCGCGCTCAATAGGTTTCGAAAATCTTGATACGCGCGGGAGACGATAACACGCATGATTTCCTTCCACAAGATACGGTTGATCAATGACTCGATTCAAAAAAAGCAGATGATGCGTTGGATTGCATTTTTTTTTGGAATCACCTTCGAATTTTCTTTTCTTTTTGCTTTTAACATCACCATCAATGCATAAATTATATCAGGTTTCTTCTGAACGCTCAATTATAGGCATTACAACATCACCAACAACTACCAAGCACTCGTTTTTTTAATCATAGGACAACCCCGATGAACGAAATCTGTGGTTTCTCGTCGTCTCGTCGTCGGCGACAAAGGAAAAATCTACTGTGGAATTCGATAGCAGTTCTAATTTCTGTTGGATCGATGGGCTCGACCTACGCAGAGGATTTCGCGACGCAATATCCCACAACAGAGTCAACACGGTTTGATGACGATGACAACAGCTACGATGATATATTATTTTTTGATCTTCCTTCCATGGCAATAACACTCGATGTTGATACGGAAGATAACGTCCTCATTCCCTTCGAAGACAAGTTAACGGAAAGCATTGAACACCATCTCGAGCACTTCTATCAAAAGAAACTTCTCACATCAGAAATTGGTAACCCAAAGTTCATACATGTTGACCTCGAGTCAAACCTTTTGTGGACAGAGGTCTCGATGGCACCAAACATGCGGCAAACGGACGATGTTACCTTTGTCAAAAAGTATCAGGTTCAAGGGATTTTCAATAGCAAAATTAAGCTCCAAGTCGAACCTATTGTAACGGAAGAGGGAGAGAAAGAAAAGCTTTCCTTGCTCAATCAAGTGCTCATGGATTTATTTTTCCTCGAAGCCTTCGAAGACGATTATCAATGGGACTTGCTTCATGGTTTTCTACTGGAGCCTCTTTTGCACGACATAATTAATGTCGAAATCAATATCATGGACTCGGGTTTCGTACATCCGCATGATGCAAACGGCAACCTTGTTTTTGAACAAGGTGGTGACGATTTCTATTCCAAATCGATTTTCTCCTTGCAAACCAAAGACGTTCATTGGATTATGGTTGGCGTTATTCTTGCCACAAGTTTTTTGGTTGGTCTGATCGCACTGTGGATCTGCTTGTGTATTGCAACGAAAGGGGGAAAACGGCATTACTGCTTCCGCTGGCTGCGAGGAAAGACTACGACCTATTATGACGACAAAAGTCTTGAGGGAAGTTCGGTAACGGGTAGTACAAGCTCGCACGACTCGGTATCGGCGGAATCGGAAGCCACCAGTCTGAGTTACAATCTAGACGCATGGGCCAATGCCATCACGAGCATCACGCTCCGCAATCCGGCGAGGAGAAAAAAGCGCGGAGCTAAAGTCGTCAAACGACCCTATTTCCGTCCCAGTGACGAGCACTCGTCCGATCTTAGTTGCATAGCAGAAGGAGATAACGAAAGCTGCACTTCCACTGTCAAGTCGGCCGGAACATCCCGAAGCGAAAGGAGCCGAAGGAAAAGGCGAAACTCGAAATCTTCCTGGAAGTCTTCGACAGCTTACGATTTGCCATCCTTGGATTCTTCATCCGTATCGTCGGCATTATCAAGTGTGATATACGAAGAGGAGCCAGAAAAAGAAACAGCTGACAGCGACGAAAATGCTAATGGCATCACTGAGGATGATGATGGCACAAAACAATCTGCTCCACTTTTGTCAGAACGAGGCCTGATAAGGTTGATGCCCAGCGACGACGAAGATGATATTTTAAGATGTGATGTTTGAAACATCGCATCGACCAAAAATCTAGGCCAACAAACAGCCACCGCAATCTTTTCAATATGTAGAAATAATTCAAACTTGTAATTTAACATCACAATAACGCAATGCGTTGGATAAGTTAAAGTCACGTTTTTGAGTATGTCTTTGATGCTATCTATCTCATGCCAACTTGCGCATGAGTAATCGATACAGCCCTACGAATACTGCTCAATCACCAGGGATGGAACGACTAACGAAAGCCTGCAGTAAATCAATGTTTCAGCTATAGAAAATGCCAAGGAAATCAATGCCGATGTATCAATAACTTCTATTCGATTTTACTACCGTCGTAACACCTCGATGATTGAGAACGTTCTAATAGAACGTACTTGTACATGCACTAGAACAGCGGGACTTTTTGGGCTAGGTCAAGCCTGAGGAGGTAGGGGTAGAGAAGAAAGGTTTCATCATGCAACTTTTTGTACATGTGGTACCGAGTAACACCGTGTACGACTAGTTACTTTTCGGGAGCAGATGGATACTCGGACTCGTCCAGTACCAGTATGAACGCAAATGTGTGGACAAAATGCGTAATAGATTATGAGTACAATAAGACGCGCCAGTTTTTAGCTGTGAGCTCTTAACTTTGCTTGCTTGTTAGTGCTACCAAAGCACCAATCAGATTTAGAGAATCTGTCAGTCGGAAAGGGTTTTCTTTCCTCTTTCCAACGATGTGCACATTGCAGGGTGTTTGCTTTCAAAAACCTTTTCAGGCTTGTTGATTTCTCTCCGCACCGAAATTTCCGAAAAACTCTCATTTAATCCACCTCAACATAGGACCTGTCACCCCCATTAGACTGAGCACCAACAACACTCTCCTGTCCACACACCCACTGGAATAACTTCATTATAACAAGGGGAAGGGGATACGGAAGTAGCGGATCGATCGACCGAGTGGTTTAGGAGCAACAGGATACCAAAGCTACAGCGAAAATATCATCGAAAAACAGCAACGACGAACTCTATATTGAAACAAAAAAGAAACTGTCTTCCCCCCATAACAAAGACAACCAGTGTGTCAGACGTCCTTAATACATCAAAGGAAAGTTGTTCCCGAAGTATCGTTGCAATCGACCAAGTATTTTGAAAGAAAAAGCAGTTTTTGCTGTATTTTGAGTGTTTTTTGGCAGTGAAATGAGCAATAACAACACCAAGCAGGCCCCTGGAGGGGAAGGAACGCTACAGGAATCCGCCGCACCAGCACTAGCACTACGCGAATCGATGGCAAGGACATTGGAGAGGATGGGGTTCATTGGTGGGGGTAGTGCAAGCACCACCAGCAGAAAGAAAAAGCAGCAGGAAGATCGCCAGCAAACAACAGCAGCAGCAACAACAAAAGCAACTATTCCTGTTGGTGCTGTACCAAATGGACACGTTGTTGCAGTATGCAGGCGTACACGAATTGCGGCAAGGGCCTTGGTTATGGCCAAGGAAGAAGGTGAGGATTGTACCACCAAGAGTGCAATGCTATTTGCCAAGTTCACTGAATCAGAATGTGAAAGCAAAGCTCTTCGCAGAAGAGTTATGAGGTTTAGGGATAAGCTGGAGCTTGAAAAAGCAGTTGCTGGTGTCCCCTTATCAACCATTGAATATGCTTTACCACCAGACCTATCAGGCCTCACKGGAAGTGTTGGGGTCAGTACCTGTGCTGCTCCTCCTGCTGGTACCTCCAGGAGCTCCAGGAGCTCCAGCAGTAATAGCAAAGATGGAGATAAAAACGGTGACAACACGGAGGCAACCAGTACTGTTGGCGATGGTTCTGATCACACCAACGGTTCTGCAAAGAAGAAGCATAAGCCTCCTAGGACGGCTCAGTATCTTCATGCGGAGAACCTTGAGAAGCACAATGAAAATAAACTAAAAAATACCGCTTACCTTTCCGTTGCTAAAAAAATCAAACAGGAACGTGCCCTTGGCAATGTGACGAATGTAGCAGCTTTGGTTGCTCRAGTGAACAAGCTTTATAATGTCGAACTCAGTGCAGAAACGGTTCGGCGACGTGTGAGTTTAGGCCTCGAAAATATTCCCTCACGCTGGAACTCAGGGCGTCCTCCAACTCTGCCGGCAGTGGTGGAGGCGGCACTTGTCGATGCTATTTCCTCGTACATAAACCTCAGTTGTTCGGAGATGAAAGAACAACCGAATCAGAAAACAGTGACACAGATGTTAGTATCCTGTCTTCAAGGAGGACCAACTGTACTAAAGAATTATTCAAGACTTTACGAACGCCTGTCGATTTTATTCGCACCTCACGTCAGAATTGTTACTAGTTCGTCTAAAGTTGAAGATAGGAGAGCTAAGTGGACTACCTATAACAATATCAACTTATGGTTCAACACACTAAAGAGTAGGTTGATTTCTGGAGGATGGGCCAGAGAAACGACGGCAAATGACGGTGAGGTTGAAGGAGAGCTTGTCTTTTTTGAGGGTCAACTAAATCGGATTTTAAACCTAGACGAAAGTGGGTTGATGCTGGACGGCAATCATTCTTTGAGTGGGGGCCGTTCCTCTACAAGATACCGCTCTTCAAATCCTGCAATTGCTTGTAATGCCACAGCTGGGATGGATGCAAAGGAATTTCATCAGTTCATGATGGATTCGATTGTAAAACTATTTCCAGACGCAGCCGATTTGCCTCGGAAAAGAGTTCTCATCATGGTGGACAGCGGGCCTGGGCAAAAGGACCTCAGCTTATTGGCGAAGCTCAAGGCGCGTGGGTTCTATTTGCATGCTGGTGTCCCTAATACTACGCATGTCACCCAGCCCACCGATCAGAATTATGGTCCGTTCAAGTCGATGTATCGTCGGAATTTGGAGTCTCTAGTTCGTTTCCAGAGAGAACGTAAAGACAACGTGAGGCAGAACGATTTTCCCTTGCTTGTTTTTGGCAATCACATCACATCCAACGAAGAAGTTGTTTTGGAACCTGCCTTCGACAAAGCATTTTCAGTTGCAAATTCCAAAGCGGTCTGGGCCAAAATTGGAATTTC